TTTGACAAAAAGTATTCAAAAAATTAAAACAAAACCCCCCAAATAGATAAAAATTAAGATAAACCTCTTATTTCATTAACAAGATACTTTTTTTAAATCAACCAAGCTTTCATTTGTACAATTACATTATTGAGAGACCTAAACACGTTGTGTTTATGTGATTTTGTTCAAATGAGGTTCGGATAGATGTCTCATTTCATTCCGAAAATATGATACCAAGAACAAAAGAAGTGGATATCTTTTTTTCAAATTATATTGTTACCTTTCAAAAGATGACCATTAAATTAACAATGTGTAAACGTTTCAGAATTATTTGATGTCTGGTTAAAGAGAAACGCGTGTTCAAAAGGTTCACCATATCGATACCAATCCTTTATACATTTTTGTTTTGCCCGTTTTTTACAGATTCAAAAACATTTAATATATTATATTTGAGAAAAAGTAACAGTCCATATACAGGAGAGACTTAGTAGAGATGCTCATTCTAATACATGGCCTTGGTCAGTCATTTGTTGGTTAAATATTGTACTCTATTACAAAATGATTTTGTGTAACAGTCGTCTAAATAATAACCTATTCCTCCAAGAGGAGAATTGATAAGTAAACCCTGACCCGCATTTGGTTTATCCGCTTACCCCAAACTCTGCGGCCAGTTGGAGGGTATCATTTAATATAAAGGTTTCATTGGAGTCAATACTGTCTGGAATAGATGGAAATAACCCCGTTCACAATACACACAATAATGAAGTTAAATGTCCCCCGGGTATTGAAACCACTAAGAAGTGAATGCAATGTTATCTGTTTCTTTAGCTGCAGCGATCTGTTTAGTGTGAAATTTAGTTTTTTTGTCATCTTGCTGTTCAGTGATATATTGTAGTCATACATCAAGTAACCGTATATCATTAACTAACGATTTAACCTTGTATATTAGGAGTACCACTCAGTAAGAGGCAATTCATTATTCTTGGTTGGCATGCTGCTATCCTTGTTATAATTGAAAGTACCCTTTCCAGTTTGATTTAGCTTCTTAAAATTAATTTCTTGGTTCGAGGCCTCGTGCTTCATTGACACTGGTTTATACGAAAGGAGTAAGTGTCAACACATTGTGTATTGTTTATTCAAAGGGTCTCCAAAAGAAACCTGATCTTTTAAAGTATTGCAACTTGTTTTTTTATTGGTCATATAAATCTTAACGTTTTGCACGCAGGCATTGAAAAATATCTTCACTTTTCCTTTTTGAATTTGAATAATTCACACATGCAGAAGTTTATCAACATTCTTTAATCGCTTAATACATAAGTATGGCGGAACTTGTTTCAAAATGATGCACCCATTTGTTTAAAGGATCTCTTTGATTGGTTTGTTCATTCGTCCATGTATTTCGATATCTCACTCCCAAATACTGTCAGAATTCATTCACTACTAAGATCTTATTCATACGACTGTCAATATCAAATTATTTCCTGGACACAGCATAGGGGCAGGTCTGGGAACCAAGAAGGGGGGTGGAGGCCCAAATTTCAGGTTATAGAAAAAAGTCCACGCTTGCGTGGAAAAAATGTGGGCCCCTAAAACTCCAAAGTGGGCCCAAATTTTGAGGCCCATTTTCTTCAAAATTTGGCCTGAAATTAAAAAAATAAGGCGTAGAAATGATCGAAAAGGCCCACTTTTTTTCTGGGCCCACCCAAGGAGAGGGGCCCCCAGGTCCGCCAGTGCAGCAGGACTGCATACAAGCAATATTACGACAACAATAGCATTGTCTGTTCATACTCATGATCATTTCATATGAGTTTGGTTACATTATAGTGTCCCAGACATTCAGTATTACATGACAAGTTTCTCATGATCATTTCATATGAGTTTGGTTACATTGGACATTTAGTATTCCATGACAAGTTTCTCATGATCATTTCATATGAGTGTGTTTACATTATAGTGTCCCGGAAATTCAGTATTTCATGACAAGTTTCTCGTGATCATTTCATATGAGTTTGTTTACATTAGTGTCCCGGACATTCAATATTTCATGACAAGTTTCTCATGATCATTTCATATGAGTTTGTAGTGTCCCGGACATTCAGTATCTCATGACAATGTTTACCTTATGGTCCCTGAATCGTCTAGTATGTCATGACAAGTCTGTTTACATAACATAGTATCTATTACAGAGTCTAGAATGTCAGCCTGAGAATGTCCAGTATGTCATGACAAGCTACTCATCATGATCATCATTCCGCACAAGATTATATACGTCTCGAATGTCTAGTATGTCGTATATGTCCCCATCACAAATCAAAATGAGTTGATTTCCCTAAAGAGGTGCGATGTTGTCTTTTTGATTCTCTAATTCTTATAAATGTCCGTGGCCCATTGTTCTTTGATTGACATGGCTGTGACTGGAAATCTCAGGGGAAATTATAAAATAGCTTATCTCAATGCCGTCCCTTCTCATCAAACGCTTTAATAGGCAAGTTGGTCCATACTTATTTAAACTTTGTTAGTTGATCTTGACATTTTTTTCTCTGTATAAATAGCCAAAGACGAGTAGTTGGACTTTAGAGCAGCCTTTACACTATATCTAGTACTGGACCATTTTGTTTTAATACACCGTATGTGTTTTAATCATCTTGTGGTAGTTACTTAACGGTGAATCCTCAGACACCTTCAGTGCCCAATGATTTACTTCATAGAGCATGCAAATTGAAAATATAAAAGTAACACACTGTAAATCAACTTTTATTAACGCTTAATAACGAAGGATGTCGACTGACGCCATTCTATCCAAGTACACTGTAGTGTCAGATGAAATCCGACTCAGCGATTGATTTGATACACATAATTGTGAAATGGACCAATGGTTTTTTCATAACTGAATGGGGCTGAGATCTAAATATATTATCAATAATCAAATTCTGTGCAGAAGACAGAAAATATTTAAGAGTGTAGTTGTGTTTTACCGAAACTTCGTTTTCATATAATCAATGGGGGATGCATTGATGCATGGCTTTCCTGTTTTTGTATCTTTAACTCAGTTAAAGGACGTGGATTTAGGGCGCGGCAAACATATGCTTTTCAAGATGTGTGGAATCAATGAAATAGTTTATTATTTGAGCCTTTTATAACACTCATTACTTGCGATAAATGATTACGTTGAATTATTCGTTTAAAAATGATCATTAAATCATTAAAAAAGCGAAATTGTCAAATACTCCACAACAATTATTTGGTAAAACTTTTCCTTGAAATCTGAACCCTAACATATATTTTTACTAGAGAAGGGTCGGTTACGGTTCGGTTCGATTAACCGCGGTTTTTGGCCTCACGGTTCTACTGGGACCGTCTGATCACCAAGAACCGAGTCCAAAACGGTTCCATCATTCCCGGGGAAATACTTTATTTTCGTGCAGTGTAACATGAATACGAAATTTTTGCGCAAATAATTACAGCTCTATTTCATCTAAATAGCGAATGAAAGTACCATTTAAACGACAATTGAACAACTTAAAACGATCCATGCGGTAATAAAATCGTTTCCTTGGATATTTCATTGTTCTTCTACGTCTCGAGGGAACATAATTCTACTTGCCAGCGTGAATTTATTTCGCGCGGAAACACTTGTGTTTTAAAAATGGCGGACAGTTTTCGAAGTCGGCAAAGAGCTAGTAAAACCATAATAGAGCCTTTTCCCGCGATGCCTAAGTTGGATGCTTGGAAGTATTCGGTTTCTACGATGAGAATACGTCTACCCTATGTCGGTTGTGCAACACGACATTGAAATACGCTGCAGGTTTCCAATTTTTGTGATAGAAACTTTTTGTAAATTTTTTTAATTTTAAAAATTAAGACCGCGATCTTTATTAGACTTCAATTCATTCCCTATCTTGTAACTGCCTCCTATTACCCACTCATAGTAACATTTTTTATGACTGATATATACACTTTTTCATGTGTCCTACCTCAGGTCCCAAGTCAGGTTGAGAATTTGGGTAAACACCCCCTAGCCCACTGCACTGTTATTCCCAACTGAAGGACATCTGTGCTATCCATATAATTTTAGTTTTCAGGAAACACACTGTCTGCCATGAGGAAACATATTGAAAGGTCTTACCCAACCAGACCCAGTTTAAAAAGGAATCCCTCCCATCTAACACGGGGCAAGCAACTTGTTGATAGCCACATACAAATAGTTCAATTCTAGTTATTTAATTCCATAAATAGTCAATGATTATCAGCTATCATCATTCCATATTGATCATTTATAAGATTGAAAATAAAATTATATCCCCTAATAATACAAAATAAAAGTGAAACACCTTTTTATGTTGCCATATTTGTTGCACCAATTGCAATTTATGAGGCCCACCTTATTAAGTATATGATTTAAGAACCGACCGAACCGAGAGACAAGAACCGAGAATCGTACCGAACCGAACCGAACCGTGACCGACCCTTCTCTAATTTTTACTATGCATTTCTAGATCTAAATATCCCAAATAAGCCAGTATACATCGTTCATTTCTAGATTCCCCAGATAAGCTTTGTATTGTATGTTTCTTGATCACCCGGATAAACTGCACATATGCACCTCTATATTATTAGATATTCCAGATAGGCTTAAACATGGCTTACATCTAGATTTCCTAGATGAGCTATACATTGAATATTTCTTTATTATACACATAAGCTATGCATTGATTATTTCCAGATTTTCGACTCTCTTTCCCAGATTAAGCTATGCATCGTTTTTTCCCCCAGATAAGTTTTGTATTGTATATTTCTTAATCACCCGGATAAACTACACGTATATGCACTCTATATTATAATTAGATATCCCAGATGAGCTCTATATTATTTAGATCTAGATTCCCAAGATGAGCTTTACATTGAATATTTCTACATTTTACACATAAGCTTTGCATTGAGTATTTCCCGATTTCCCAGATAAGCTACACACTGTATATTTCTTTACCCCCTAGATAAGCTCTGTTTTATATTTATAGATTCCCCAAATAAGCTATGCATCAACGAGTATCGAGCTCAGTGATAAAACGAGGTTTGGCTATTTCTCGCGCGTGGTCCCGCCAGACCTTTACCAGGTCAGGGCTATGGTGGACATTGTTCGCCACTTTGGGTGGTCATATGTCTCTACTGTGGCCGATGAGGGCAACTACGGGGAGAAAGGCATCAGTGCATTTGAAGATCTTGCATTAAAATCAGGTATGTTACCCTATCATTAAGCAGGATGTTACCTTATATGATGGGATATGAAAATGACATAGTTAATTAATGATCTGAATGTGCGTCTAGAAAATGCTAGTGAAAAACAAATAACGAACTCCAGATGCTTAAACATGAATGGCAAACTATTTTTTGATATTAGAGATACTTCTATAAATGCTGTGTTTTGAATGAACATTGGTGCAAATCGCGTGAGACATAACCTTCATTACCCGACACGCAATAAAGAGCGACACCCAACACCTGCGACAAAGAGGTGTCGATTGCATAACATTGTTGCTGTCTCGATGGTAGATTCTAACTTCATCATTGGCATTCATTTAACATGGAATGTGACTTAATTTGTCGTGTTCAAGTTGTGTATTTGACGTTCCCAACAAAAATAAGTACAAAGAGGTTCCTAAATTATTATATTTCCTCAAATGAAATTGCTCCTTCAGCTTTGAAGAGGTTTCCATAACCCATCAAAAAATTTAATACCAAAGTTATATTTTGCGGGTAAGAATAGTTAACATATGTGCCAAGTTAATAAGTACAACCTTTAAAGTGTATAATCATTGAATAAATAATACATACCTTTTATTAGTCTATTGTGGTTGGTTTCATGCAAATATAACACTTCTCTTTACGTGATTAGACCGTAGATCGAAATATTTCACCGACCCAAAAATTAATTCTAGTTGAGAAGTGGATTATGTACAAAATGCCTTAAAATGCCTTATCAATAAAAAGGAACATTGGAAATTTGGATACTATATTTGCTACTTATAGAATTCTAAACACTGTTCTGTACTGTTCAAAGGAAAAACCTCCATAGGCTTCAATGTTTGAAACTTGCAATTTCATGATTTATCAAAAAGTGTCGGTTGAATCTTTCTAAAACTATGGAATGACCCTATTACTATACACATTGTGAATAATCATGAAAAGTTTGGCTGTTGGACGAATAAGAATTTAAACATTGCATCAATAAAGATTTGGCCTTTTTTTAGAAAAGTTGAAAAAGTCATGAAAAAATGATTTAAGCAGCATAACTCAAAGAAAAACGAGAATTAGCGAGATTTCAAGCTATAGAAACTCCACTATTATAGAAACCCTGTTTGAGCTATTGAATACATTTATGAAATAGTAGCCTACGTTAAGTACATTGGTTGTATTTCATTTTTTTGTCATAGGTATTTGCATTGCTCAATCATTGAAGATCCCGAGAGAGTTCACCTCAGAGACATATGACGGCATCATGACGTCACTGTTCCTGACAGCAAATGCCAAAGTTGTGGTACTGTTTGTAAACGAAGACAATGCCCGGCGCTTGTTATCGGCATATGGCCGAACCAACAAAACAAGTCCGTTTTATTGGTTAGCCAGTGATAGTTGGGGGGCCAAGATCCACCCAATTAAAGACCAGGAGTTAGCCGCAGAGGGTGCGCTGACAATTTTACCAAAACGGAAAGTGCTGGCAGGTGAAACTTCCTTTTACAGAAAATAAAACGAGAAAAAGTCAATTTTCATTGTTCTACTAATACATCTTTATATCCACAGTTACTGATTATTTACGAATATTCTATTAATCACCTCCGATAAATGACTAGCAATAACGCAAAACCTAAATATGCACATATTACACTGAGCAAAAAGTTCAGAATAATTTATATAATCTGCAATATCGGTAAATATTCGATTCTGCTTTTAAAATACAATGCGTTCAACAGAAAAGACAAATGAAATAATTTTTAATGTTGGACGAACGAATCAACTCATTAATTTATTACCAATTATAATTGTTATACTTTGTTCCGTATAGGGTTTGACGAGTATTTCCTGTCAAGGACTCGAGAAAACAATGAGCGGAATCCATGGTTTGATGAATATTGGCAGATGAACTTCAATTGCACATTGGATCCGACTGTAGAGGATAAGGCCATATGCACAGGTGGGCCAGTAAAATTATCAGAAGATCAAATACTTTTAATAGCTGACTTACTTTTAAAAAAATGTGGCACAGGTATACAAAGGGGTATATTATTATAGAATTTTGCAAGCTAGTGCTATATATCATCTACATATACCTCCAAGTGTATAATACTAAATATAGTTTCAAATACATGTCAGCAATTTTTAATGAAAGAGAGAAAACAATTCGATAAAAACATATAGTAACCGATAAAATCTTGTAGCGACCAGGCACCATTTAGTATAAGATAAATGTATGTTGTATATATTTCAATATCTTTTTTTGACGTTGCTGTGCTTATTTGCCCAAATATTATTATATGACTCCATTAAGTCAAGGTTTCGGCATCCGTTTTGATTGGACGTCATGACCGTATGATAATCATAGGATGCCCAATGATTTTTAGGAATATCATTTTTATCTACGAGATGATATTGATGTCTGCACTAGAGAGCAAAGCGAACGAGTGCATTTATCAATATCACCGAGTTGATTGAAATGATATTCTGAAAAAAAATCAAAGGATGTTCTTATTATCCTACACTTACTTTAGTGTACTAAATGTATAATATCATTGAACATTAAATTTAATGTCAAATACTTCAACTTGGCGGGAAATCAACAAGCGGAGTGTATCATCACAATATTATTTTTAATGTTATTATACATTAAGTACACTAAGTGTAGGATAATAATTGGTATTTAACTATTGTATTAATGCATCCATCTTTATGCCATGTCGAAGACGGCATACATATCACTACAACAGTGTATTTTATAATGCAATTGACATGTGATAATGCCTATCTATTGTCAATGGTGTGTTATACAGCTTGTAATTCATCACATATTTATAGTTATATCATAGTTTATAGTTATATCATGTTATAGCCGTGACTTTATTATATTAGGTAATGAGGACACGCCCGAAGAGGTCTACCATCAAGAGGGCGTTGTTCCATTTGTTATCAACGCTGTTAAGGCAATCGCCTATGCATTAAACAACTTATATCACGATAAATGTGACGACATTGCAGTCTCTGCGTGCCCCGAACTGAATCCCGTAGACGGCGTCCAACTTTTAAGTTATATCAGAAATGTGTCATTTATTGGTTAGTATAACAGTTCCACGAATGCTTATGAGTACTGTATGTTTTCACCTCTGGAGGTACTGCTACCTGTTTGAAGTAAATCCTCACATGTCTGTGTACAATGTACCCTTATATGGCAATTTTTGGAACCTTGTGTGTAGTCAGGGCACAACCTTTGCCTTGTGTGTAGACAAAACACGAGTAAGAGTGTGTAAAGAAGACACCATAAAGTTGTATTTAGTAATTGTATCGTCGTTTCTAGATTTAATCTCAGTGTTGTAAATTGAAGGAGCAGTATTCCTTTTGCACCGGGCTTGGGGACCTGTACTATATACACTTTAATCATCTTATTTCAGACTTGGCTCTGTAAATATGTGTCATATTAACATTGATAATTGCATAGGTGACGATTAGTTCAGCTGCTCATCGTAGCTACATGTAAGTGATGCCCAGGCTTCAACTAACATCTGAATAATTTTCAAAACATTGACTTTCAAAACGAGGTGCATAGAATGTTTGTTCCATTTATGATGAATTCTGGGATACCTGCGTCAGCTCAATGCAAGAAATTGACGTAATGATTAGCAACATTCAGAGAAAATGTAACATAGCATATCATAAAACTTTGTAGCACAAAATATCCGTTTCTTCGTTTTGAAAACAATGTAAAAACAGACCTTATTCTTAGGAATACATGTACGCCTAGATGGCCTAGTAGTAGCAGGTACTTGTTTTATATCTTTTTGGAAATAGTTTAACAAGGTTTAACAATTATGTAGTTTCCATGAAACACATATTTGAAAAATCTTGGATGCCCCTGCTGTTCTTCCTTTGGATAACATGCACATGCACGACGTATTTGTTAGATGCTGAAGCTGGTGGATGACACTCAATCATCCGAATGACTCCTATATCGACACACACCGATGACTTCCTTTTAATTAGAATCTTTGCTTATTAAGTGTAGCTTTTAATCTTGCTTTATTTCTCAAGGAAGAGAGAACAAGGGAACCAGTCACGGTCGAGATCCCTCGTTCAACTACCACCAGGAAGGCTTAGTCCCATTTGTAGTAGATGCTGTCTACGCATTAGCGCATGCAGTTCAGGATTTACTTTTCGAAAAATGTGGACGTTATGGGATTGTCTGCGCAGACGCTGGCCCGTTGTTGGGCCCAACAATGTTGAAAAGTATCCGAGGAGTGGTTTTCATGGGTCAGTTAATCCTCAAGAACTTAATCAAAACTGCGTTTCTCTGTCACACGTTTGTTTTATCAAAATAGTTTTTCCAATATGCCACGTACGTTACATAAACTGGGGCAATTGACTCACTGGTATATAATAAAGTATATTATAAATGACTTGCACCTTTCATTATAAACCAGTAAAGCTAAACCAATTGCAATATTTTTGACGATGTCATACTTTTAACGTTACAAAGGTTCTGTTATAAATGGTAAATATATGACCACAGATTTTATTCTGGTCATTTTCAAAAACCTCAATCGCTGCTCTCTTTTGATCTTTCGACAATGAAAAGAATAACATCTTCGGTTATGATACCATAAATCACAGAACCTTAATTTCTTTATGCAACTCTCAATATTTATGTAAAATGCATTCATTATGTTGTGAAACGTTGCCATGGTATTTGTTTTCAGCCTGTTGCAAACGTTTTCTGCAGCATGTAAAATAGTTACTATGCCAACAGCTTATTATTCAGTTGCTATAGAATTGCCACCTATAAAATAATTGTAGATCTCGTTTTTGCCTTTCTGTTGTCAACTCGTGTTGATGCATGCCTGCTTAGTTGGTTTAAGAGCGTGGGACTGATAATTAATTTTCCAAAACTGAGTGCATTGGGATATCTACCAAATTACACTAGTAGTGTTCATTGAAATTGTATACGCTACATATAAATGTACAAAATATGGACCCAATAAACAGTGTCTCCGTCAAGAAGTGCCATTGGGTCGTTTCATTCTTACAGACTACAGCATACATGTAGTCATTTCGAATAAATATTTGATTGAACTGATGACAAACTGCTCTGTCTAAGAATCTTTGGTTAAAATTCGTTTCGAATTTGCTTCATTTGACTTGCACATTTGTTTTTCTCAAATAAGACTCTTTTCGTTATATGTCTCATGGTCGTCGAAGATGCATGCCGTTTTCAAATGAAATACCCAAGCATGCTTATTTCGAAAGACCTCATAATGAGAAAATCCGGTTTTAATAAAGGTCGGTTAAAATAGGTACAACTAATTTATATTTTTGTCTTAATTTATCTAATGCTGTATTGTACTTCATTGCATTTTATAGGAAGTCTATTGTTGGGTTTAGGAAAGCAAGTCCCATTCTGGCTGCATTGCATGCTTGAAGTTCTGATACCTTTTTTATTTCATTAAAACACAATAACATTTGTACATATTTGTGGCCGTGACACCTACAAAGGTATAAAATTGACCAAAAACATTAATCTAAAATTTTCGAGTGCTTGAAAGTTTAACACAATATGATACTAGGTGAACCATAAATTGTCTCATGAATTAAAACCATTGGTAAAAATAATGTACAACAAATCTTAAATAATTGCTTCTGTATTTTGTTACATGAACTTGTTCATTCTGTCAAGTGCAATGTTGATGACCACTATTGTTTTTGTTAAAGAAGCTCATAGAAATGTCACTTGGAAAAGAATCGGGTCTGTTAATACTTTTGTTAGTAAGTTGTAAAATATTAAGGTCATATTCGTCTGTAAATTTTAGAATTTTAAATTGTTTAAAGAATGACCCGATATCTTCCCTATACCGTTTTAAGTTGAATGATTAATTTCATAGACTACCAACACTTCTGCGCAACCAAGCCATATCTTTCAATTTTTTAATACGCTATAATGCTCGATGTTCCATTATCTGTTTATTGCTGAGATGTTCTTTTGACTTTATCTTTAACCACAAAAATCGTTACATTTAACTGACTCTACTAAATTTCTTTTCTGCCACTTATCAGCCGTGAAATATAATGCAACAATGTAAAATCTTGAAATATATTAAACATTTAAAAAACATATTATAAATAACTTTCACATTCTTAAAACTTATTACTATACTAGTATCAGTCTGTTATTGTTAATATCATATACTTGCAAAAACTACTTTTGTATATTTCATATTACTTTTGTTCATAATATTGTTAGGTAGTGCTGGTCGTGTTGTCCGCTTCAACGATCAAGGAGATCCAACAGAGGGGAGTTATAATATCTACCAGTTGCAGAGGTCGAATACGTCCGAGGCTTGGCGCTATGTCTCAGTGGGAGAATGGACTGATGAGTAAGTGTAAAGTTCCAAACAATGTAATTCAGTATTATTCACCCACGTGGTCACATGTATGTCATTTTAATTCGAAGACACATATTGACTCATAATTAACCTTCCAACATTACATCAAGCGTGTTCATCCTTTATAAGCTTTGCCTTACAGTGAACATATGCATCGTCTGCGATTAATAAATTTTGAAGAGTCGAGTTGTCTCTGCTGTCTCATTATAAAACATACATCTGCGTTAAAATGGTGAATAAGACAATGGGCTGATTAAACTTGAAAGCTATTGTTTTTCATGATGAATTTTATTTGAACCGGATGAAATAAAATCACTTTGTTTCGAGGCTAGAAGTCATGGTGGACCGGAAAATAAATGAAAAAACAGAAAGTAAAGCAGGATATATGCAATTCAGCAAATCATGTCTTGTTTCGGGCATTTGACACACCAGATAAACAAATTTTCTTTTCAAGAGCCAAAAACTTTTATCTCCCATTTCGTGATAAGGAAGTGTTAAGTTTTACAATTGATCGTGTCGCCTATTGCCTCATTCACCGAGAAGACATTGCAGGGAGTATACTAAAATACAAAATAACAGATCGAAACTCCTTTAATCATATGAACTATTAAAGCCATTTGGAAACATTTTCTATTTCTTATGACTTTCTTTACTCATAAATATGTTTTTACTGAGCTTTTTGATATTATTTGAAGCATATTGTATTCCTAAAACCCCAGGGTGCGTCTTAAAGTGTAAATACATTGATCAAATGAAAAACAAAAATCATTGAAAATAAGACAGAATATTAGAAGAAACATATTGTAAACAAAGAAGAAACAAACTCCCGCATTCCACCCAACCAATGATCCAATGCACATGATTAAAATCAAGGGGGAAGGAGCTTTAAATGAGAAAAACACATTTTTCACAGTTTAAGTATTTCTTTTTTTTGCAGCCTCAATATGAACGAATCTCTTATAAAATGGCGGGATGAGTCGTTAGTGAGACCACACTCCGTATGCAGTGAAGAATGTGAACAGGGATACGCCAAAGGAAACAATCAGAACGAGAAGAAAGATCACTGTTGTTGGATTTGTATCAAGTGCGGTGACTATGAATACCTGAAGGACGAATATACATGCGCCTCTTGCCCTATTGGATCTATACCAAACGATACGAAGAATGGCTGTTATGAACTACCAGTACAATCCATGGAATGGAATTCCGTTTGGGCAATCTTACCAGCTGCGTTTTCATGCCTAGGGATTATCGCTACTCTGTTTACATTCTTTGTGTTTTGGCGTTTTAATAGGACGCCATTGATTATGGCGGCGGGGAGAGAGCTTTGTTACATTCTCATGATCGGTATTCTTATGTGCTACAGTCTCACGTTCGTTCTTCTCTCGCAGCCATCAACAATTACTTGCACTATCATACGCATAGGCCTCGGAGTATCATTATCTGTGTGCTATGCAGCATTATTTACTAAAACAAACAGAATCAGTAGAATTTTTAATCGAGGAGTGAAAGCAGCAGTGAAAAGACCTAGTTACACGAGCCCCAGATCGCAGGTAGTTATCTGCATGTGCCTGGTGGCCGTTCAGATAACAGCCGCTGTCACGTGGTTAGGGATGGAGCTACCGGGCGTCCGATTGGTACACCCAGAGCGGGAGAAGGTCATTCTAAAATGCCGAACTAGTGACATAGCATTAGTGATATCACTTTTGTATAATATTATTCTTATCATTCTATGCACATTGTATGCTTTCCGAGTGAGGAAAATTCCTGAAAATTTCAACGAGGCAAAGTATATTGCTTTCACCATGTATTCCACTTGTATTGTCTGGCTTGCCTTCATTCCCATCTACTTTGGAACGAATAACAATTTTAGGGTAAGTTCCCCCAATGTCTTAATCATCATTTAATAGTGACCTAGTGTGCTGAATCCAAACGATACGTGATGGTAAAATTAGATTGTTATGATACAAGTATATAGCTTTCTATTTTAATTGTATAATCAATTTTTACGTCGGATCCAAATAAAACGCTTGTCCAAGCTGTAATATATTTTATCTTAAAGGATTTAGATGCATAAATGCACTGGTATATATAGTATAATAACATGATTCTTTTTAAGTAATATCATGTGAATCACTTGTTCCAGATTCAAATTACAGCATTATGCGTGTGTGTCTCAATCAGTGCCACAGTGACGCTAGGGTGCCTCCTTCTCCCCAAGGTTTACATAGTTATCTTCCAACCACACAAGAACGTGCGACAAGGCGGCTCGTCTACCATTCGCAGCAACGCTAGCTACCAGCGCCAATACTTTGGTAACTCGAAGCATAAGAAAGGGCTCGCGGCACAGTTCAACAATGGAGACATCACATCTCCAAGTACGAATCATCATGACTATACAACAACTGATTTTGACATTTTGTCATCAGATGCTAGTGAAGATAAAAAATCCGAAGGGGGTGACAGCATTGAGGAAGAATTAAATGCAACACATACTACTACACTTATGTTAAACAAGATCAAACCTGACACCCCCGACGGGAATGATACTGAAACGCATCTTTAAATAACAGCATGCATACTAGATAATTCATGAAGCGTTTTTATGTATTTATTTACTATTTGAACTATGGTCTTTGTCGAAACGTTCTATCCAACTTGAACAACTCACATAAACGTATCTCATGAAGACTATAGTTTATGATATATAACTCCCTTGTGGGCGGTGGCCCATGATGAATATATTAGTGGATTATATTTAGCGAAGACCCCTCGATATATTCATAAGCCAAATGACAATTGAGTAAAATCCAGTTACTAGGGATTATATATTACACAAATCACTGTATGTTTATTACGAAGCTGATATTGCACATACTGTAGCCTGTGTTGATTATATTGGTGCATGATCTAGCAGTCTGTACTTCCTGCATGTCTCTCTTAATGTATTTTGGTTTAACGAAACACCTGCTTCTCTAGTAATACGTCTGGCTGGCATTGGTTCTTTATTTTTACTGTAATATCAAAGTAAGGAGGGGGTACACTTGAAACAGGAATTGCACCAGCTGGGCTTCCTATCCTTGACCCATGGGTCATTTTAGAACATAGCGACCTTGATCTTGATTTTTTTAACGTCACACTCTTGAGTTGATTCTTGTAACGGTATAGTTGCCGTCAATCACTTGCACGACAGTGCTAAGTAGCACTTGGCGGTACTGCTTACTTATTGACATATAACTTGAGACTGATGTAGAGATTTGTCAATTAGGAGAGTATTACTTTCCTATATTTTCTTCACTATTCTCTGAGGCCATAAGGACGGCCGCAATGGTATCTTCTAGAATGGCGAGCATTACTTATATTTTCAGCGATTAAATTCTTTTTCCGTTGATATTTAGGTTTCAAGATTTTAGCCACATTATCTACAATCAAGAGTCATAACTTAGCGACGAAGGCCTTCGCCAGCCTGTGAGCTTCATGTATGTTCGATATAAAAAAGCATAAAATAGATTACTTTGATGCGGCCAAAAATGAAAAGGTCTCTAGAAAAGTGGTACATTTTGACAGCGAAAACTAAGACACATTTAAAAAGTCACGTTTTTGTTCGCCATTTTGAAAAACACCATTACGGCAATTAATAGATTTAACCTGATTACTTTGCTTCGCAGAATGACTTTTTGCTTTGTACAATGATCAATAAATGCAGTTTGTACAATTATTCTTGATTACTTATATTCGGTAATTCTAAAAGTGTTTGGTTACTGACATCAATCATTTTAGTTCTTCTCCATTGAAAATATTTTACATGGACTGTGTTCTTTTCTGATTTCATATATATGTTTTTTCGTATTTGTCTTCTGACATCAATCATTTCAGTTATTCAAAATGATATTTCTCGGCCTGTTGATCTTCAACCATTTAAAATATTTGTTTATCTTGCTACTACGTATCCCTGTTACGTTAGGGCACCCGACATGGTAAAAGTCTGTTTAAATGCTGCCTGTTACAAACGTAATTTATGACTGAAATCTGACTAGATACACTATTCAGTGTTCCCGAGACACGTCTATTTATCTTACGTTTTTATACATTATCCAATCCATTAGAGTGATGCTCATGTATTCAGCAGAGCAATCGAATCTTACGCAAAATAAAAACTGAATCAATTGAATGCATGAATACGATCCAATACTTTAGTGTAGGGCCCTTGCAAAAAATATTCAAAACTAAATTGTTTAGTCAATGTACGAAAATCAAAATTGATTATTTATGTCGACATAAGAATGTTTGATGAAATCAACGTGTGTCTTATTCCAGTGAGAGATTAGATCAAAATAACATTCTGCATTTGGACTGACGTGGCCACCAACGGGTCCCTCATAGTGTCAGAAACACAAAGATTTAAAATCTGTGTTGATTGAATATCGTATCTCTAAGATAAATGAAATGCTACTGGAGTTGTAGACAAAGGCCTTTACGCCACCTAAGGGATGAACGGAAGTTATTATGCACACTGTAACGTTCACCAAATACATATTATTTCACTTACCCAGAAGAGATTCACATGCATTGATGTAGTTAAGTTGTCTAAATGGATTTTTGTACTCCATTTTTATTAAACACATCCCTTAAACAGTTTCACAGCCCAACTCCCTTATTGAATCATGTGTTGAAACCTGCATTTGGCGATTTTATATATAAATTCATCAATTTCAGATACATTGCAATTGCATACAGGCGTTAACATGTTATTCAATGTGGAATCTTGGTTGCTAAACCATATTTATTTTTCATTAAACAACTTTTTCTTATCTTTGAAAAATCATTTCTTTTGTCAAAACGTATGTACAATTCACGTTTTCATTATTTTTTATACTATGTGTTTTAAATTATTTATGCATTATGGTAAGTTAACTTTTTTTTATTTATAATGTAAAATAAGGCATGCTATTTATATGTAAATAACTTATTTAACATCGGCAAATAATGTGTTTTTATTTTCCATAAACTTCGACATTAATCTTTATTTGTCATGTTTAAAGAAATTAATTTTTTAACTAATTGATTTTCATCAACTTAGCCTTTCCCCTATTTAAGTTTATGTTTTGCCGCTGAGCGTGCTTATATGTTTTTACGTTCTTTTTAAATCATCTTATATTTTCATTACATTGCATTTTATTATCAATTAATCGATATATTTAGAATCGTGACATATAAACTGTTTCATTTATGTTTAGGGTTAATATTATACTGTACCATTTCAGCTGGACTGGCCATGCTCCTAGCGGGCGGTCCCGTACGAAGAGGAGTTGAAGAAAAAGACAACTCAGCAGTCAACAGAACGCGGTTTACTTCCATTCCCGACTCAAGTTCGGGACAAGATTGCGATACTGAGATTGACACAACCCTTCTTGATGACAGGATGCCCCATATAAATGAAATAGATCGTGAAATAGAACGAGAAATGGATATGATACAAAGAAGTGACGATGAAACAAAATTATAGTACACAAACTTAGATGATTGATTTATATGTTAGTACGAAATAAGTGGACATTAGTGGAATTGCAAAGTGAAATATATCAGAAACGATAGTCAGACGGTTGTTTTCTGCTAATAGAAGCAATCGACTAGAAAACAGATTGTCTGTTGATATTATCTCAAATGTTATGCAACATAAAGTGTTTTGTTGGACGACTAGTTGGTTTGTAAATGGTTTGTCACGTGATTGTCTTACCATGTGGACTGGACAGTCAACAGCCATGACAAACGGAACAAATGATTGAATGCGACTGATTGTGCACGTATACCTCTTATAGAATAGCTCAACACAGGAGTCAAACCCCACACTGTAAACTGCTTCACTAGAGTGGTTTACATTTTTAAATATAAACCAAAGGAGGATTGGAAGCCGTTATTCAAACTCGATACACCGTTGCCTGGCGTGGACCAATTTGGTAAAATGTTATTCATATTTTGAGGACTAGAACTGCCAATGAAACTTAAATAATGACCATAATATTCGTAATGTACATATTGTGCCGAAATAATTGGTCCAAAGGAACTTTATAGAAATATTTTTTACTAAATTGTTCCACACCGGGCAACGGACTTTGAATAATGGCTGCCAATCCTCCTTGGATGCGGATGATCTTCTGTAGTCAAAACGAGATCAGCCTGGCTCATTTGTAGGATGATGGGGCACTAGTACTCGTGTCATGATGCGCAAATAGGTCTGAAGGTTGTCCAAGCTTGCCCCATTAAAGAGCTAGATAGTAACAAATACGGTAAAATATGGATGTGTGTAGCGCACGAAAGCCACATGCTCGTACATCAATCAGTATGAACACTTTATACATGAATACACATGCTTTGTATATACATATGTATATATATGTTCCTGTAGCTTTGTTATTTTTATGTATCAAGTAAGAATTATTTCAGTATGTACACTTGCAAATATAAAATCACATAAAAACATTGGTCCTAGAATTACGTGTTTGTAATTAATTGGTGTTTAAAAGACAACATCAAAAATGATTAATATGTTTGATTCAAACAGAATGTCCAAAGTCACTACATCATTAAACAATTATTTAATACTCGGACATCCTCGTACATCCTCATACATTTAAAATGAACGCAAACGTCATTGTATGCATTCTTCAAAAGTTATTATAGTTAAAAAGTATAGAAAATTATAGAAAAGTTATAAATATAGATGAAAAATCCTGTTAAAATGTCACTATTAATGGATTTGACGCAGTAAATTATATTTTAACACTCAAAGTGGGAGTCATGAAATGTATTGCTTTCTGGCTTGTTGACTTTTACATGATTTTGTCTTATTTCATCAGTTAACGATGACTTTTAATGTTTCCCTTTGTTCTCTCTCTCTCTCTTCTATTTTTTTAATTTTTTTTATTAATCATTGAATATATATTTATATCAAAAGCAAACTAAACTGTTCAAACTAAATAATTGCCTTCGTCTACAACATTGGCGATATTTTCAGGTTCATACTAAGACGTTTGAGCTTACTGTGCTAACCAAAAACTTCAAAAAGGCCTTAGTTAAGCTTTAATGTCCTGTTTAAGAACCCATTTTTTAACTATTTAAAATGAATTATGGCGATACTATCCCAAATGAATGTACTTGTTGAGATTCGATCAACTTGAGTTTTTCCTCGAAAATGAGGATTTTGTATCTATCTCCATGGCGACATGCATGATGATATCCTGATGCTTCGTCAACAGTCAACCCCATGTTAAGTCAATGCATACTTGCTGAGAAGAAGAACTCGAGTTGATCGAGTCTCAACAAGTAGATTCATGTTGGATAGTATGATATTGCAAGAATCCATTTTCAGTAGTAAGAATGCAATAGGGATTCTTAATGAAACAGGACATAATGGGCTTTGCTTATGAGAATTTTTTGTTGGTACTATTAATTATATAATATGACATTCGACATTAACTCTTCAGAAAGCAATTTTAATCGAGCAAACCATATTTAATTTCATCGTGTATTCAAAATAGACATTTTCAAGGTTAAGGTTGTATTGCTTTATATTCAAAATCACTGCTACTCACCTAGTTACGCTGAAGATACGTCAGCGTAACAAGATGGAAGAACTTCCGGGCTTCGTTTTCGGTAAGATATTCTTATTTCTCGATTCTACACCACTCATAAGTTTAGTTGTGGACATTACTTTGGCTCAAAGTTAAGGAAGATAGTCTATAGTTTGAGAGTATGCAGGCGGTTCTGTCTTTGGTATATTAACGAAGACGCAATTCACATATTAGTCCCTCGCTTTTGTTACGTTGTCGGTCTTCATGAATATTGTCACATTGGAAATATGCATGAAGATCGTCAACGTAACAAAAGCGAGAAAGTTCTTCCATCTTGTTACGCTGACGTATCGTCAGCGTAACTAGGTGAGTACCAGTGAAAATAGACATATATATGGACGTGTTTCTATATTCTAAACAATGATAACACACGTTTACAACATCAGTATCCAACAATCTGATAATAACATGAACAGTTTACTTTTTCAAATCTGGTACTTTTCTCACCAACCACTTTAATATATTTTTAAACTTGATATATACCCATTGATTAAACTAGACAGCACCCCATTAACAGATGAATGATCGTACCAGAAACAATGCTGTCGCCCATTAGTATCATATGCCTTGCATTTGCATGTGCCACAGTCACGGTAGTAGAAGCTGTCGATTGGGATGTAAGTTATAAGTGAACAGAAATTAAACAAACCAAAACTAATAACTGTCTCAAAGGAAATAATCATACAGTGATCAAATAACCCTAGATACTCAGAGATACACCTCGAGCACTTCATGTCTTTATTGATAAACTACAGTACCAGTATCAGTATGTACCAGTATGAAATGCAATTTCCAAAACATTTGAGAAACATTATTGAGATTTTGATATTCGCAACGATCGACATTTTCCATTTTGAGTATTTTCGTTTTGGAAGTGGTCAACATGGTCTCCCATGGACAGCTACGTTAACAGGGCTGATGATAGTTACACATGGCGTCTACTTGAGACACATAGAGTGGACGCTGGGGGAGATGACGGCCAAAATGACACCACCGTATACATACTTAACATGACCTCGCAGACTTGGAAAGATGGTAAGAATTACCTTTTTTCAAATCACAAGGCTTTTGAGAATGAAAAATGTATTCTCACGAGGTCCTTGAGGATTAATTAACTTAGGACTATCCGACCAATTTTTACAATTCCCCACTCGCGCATTATAATAATTCGACCGAACTTTTGTATTCATTCGAGCGTCACAAATCGTGTTATGTAAAAGATGCAGTTCTTTTTCTATTCAATTCAGATTTGATTTGATTTGATTTCATCAACGTATGCGAGAAAAACTACGCGAGATATTATATAATTCTAGAAACGTACAGCAGCACGCCTGTCTGGTCGCATCATTTGACAATTGCCATTCCTGATAATGTCACTGACTACGAACATGCTTTTATGTGGATAGGAGGAGGTTCAAACCCATCCAGGTATTATAGCCTATGCCATCTTTTAAAGTAGTGTTGAACCGTTCATTTCAATGATGAGATATATGACAATTAAAAACGTTGCAATGAACATTTTTCATTTATATCATAAAAACAGATTCCTGATGTCAATGATGATCAAAATTGCAATATCACCATGTGAAATAAAGATAGGGTCAGTTGACATTTCATGTTCATATACTTTAGTCCTCCGTCACCAGATGGCGACATGTTCGTAATGGCAGCTGCTGCATTCGGATACGAAACCGGAAGTGTTGGCACATATTTAAGACAAATCCCGAATCAGCCTGTGTTTTTACCAAGATCAGTAAGTTAACTCAAAGATGACTTTATATTTATTTTGATAAAATAACCAGTTTTTACAAGGTTGGTCAGCCGTGGTATTTACTTGTAGAGAGAGAGTCGGACAGAATAAATATCAGTGCATAAATTATTTCGTATATATTTAAGCCTTTTTACGTTTACATCGGGTTGCAATTTAATACAAAAAACGAGATCCAACAAATCGACAATTGAATTTTGGTTTATGACAAAAAGTATTTCTCTGATGATTATTATATCTAGGAAGACCCCTCTCTTCGTCGAACGGAGGATGCTATTATTGCATGGACCTGGAGACATTTTGTAGACACAAATGGCACTGACCCCGACATACTTCTAAGGAACCCAATGACAAAGGTAGAAATATAACTTAATTTTGTTTATTTTGGTTTATTTTGGTTATCAATTTGATTTTTTCCGGTCCGCTTTACATGTATTGATAAGGATATTAGAAATGTATAACGTTTGGTCACACTATTTTGCAGGCCGTTGTCAGGGCATTCGATACCGTAGCAACCTTCACTAAACAACAAAATACACAATTTGAGATAACAAAGTTTTTCCCTGCTGGGGGCTCAAAGGCAAGTATGATGTGGTTCAAATAGTAGCATTAATGATATCCAGCAAATGGTTTACTAAGAAAGGAGTCTCATGTTTCTTTTGCCGTTCTCAGCGTGGTTGGACCACTTGGACGGTTGGGTGTGTCGACAAACGAGTGTTTGCAATGGCTCCGGTTGTTCTCAGTGTTCTCAAACTAAGAGAGGTATGCATTGTAATTTTAATTAGTTCGAATTTGTGAAACGACCCAATAAATCAATAATCTAATTTAGTAATACAAACTTAGCAATTTAGCCTATGCAGAAGAAATTTCAATTTCTCAAAAGTTCACGCAAAGTCGGGTTTTGATTACCAATTATTACATATTGAAATGAATGATACAGTGTATATTAAATATATATATTATCTGAACTCGGTTAACAAATAATTCTTCCTGATATCATGCCTTATCGTTTAGAATAAAGATACTAGCGTAATACGAATAAATATAGGAAATAATTTGATAATATACTTCTTATATTTTGCTCTTTGATAGTACAAAATTATTTCCTAAATCATATTTGCAGATCCTTTCTCTGTATCATTTCTGAGATTTTACAAAGTGGTATCCGCACTAGTATATTATGCCCAATAATACCGGTTCGTCCAAACTATATTAAACTGATGTCCGCCCTTTTGTAATTTGTATTTCATCATCATGGTCATGATAGTATAAACCATACGATTCCTATTACATTTATTATAGTACTACTGTATATGATATAATAATACATAATATTAATTTTATTATATTTTATTTAGACGATTAGTTTGCACTACAGAGCATATGGTGGTTGGTCATTTGCTTTTGGCGATTACTGGAGACAGAACATCACTCAATATTTAAATGATGATATCATAGACAGAATGGGAGAAGTCGTCGATCCTTACAGTAAATCATTGATAGTATTACCCAACTATTAACGAATGTGGAATTTTCTATGAGATTGCACATTCTATGAAAATCATCATCTAATTTTGATACCAATCATTGACATATCAGAGCTAAAAAACCGTTTGATCTACGAAAGACCACAAATATTTTAAACATTCAAAGGCTTTGAGAATGCATGAACTAGTTATGTCTTTGCTACAGACATATGTGTTTATTTCTAAAAACTACAAACCATGTGATTTTTATATATTTTTTGTCAACTGTTTCTAGGTTACAGAAACCGAATGACAATGCCAAAGATCGTAATTCAAGCAACAGGTGATGAGTTCTTCCTCCCAGATGAACCAAACGTTTGGTTTAAAGACCTAATAGGCCCTAAATATGTCTGGTAAGCTAATTAAAGAAGTTCAAATTAGCATTTCTACTTTAGTTGTAACGTCAAACTCTTAAATGAGAGTATGAAACATACGAGCTTAATAAAAACTTGTTCATGTTATAGGATGGTTGAAAATACGCACCACCCAATGACATTTGCCCGTCTTGATATCTTCAATAATTTGGTTAGCTTCTACAAAACTATCACAAAGGTAGGTTATTTGAATGTAGGATGCAAGGATATAACCATAATATTTGGATTGTGGAAAAGCATTATACACACAACCTTTTCATTTATTTATGACAAAATAACTCCACAGCACAAGTATATATAGCAATCAATTACAAGATACAATTATATTTCTGTGTAACTACAAACATGCATAAATAGTGATATAATATATATACAATATACCTAACAAGATGGATGCATCCGGAATACCCTTTGCATTCGTTTGACCTCACTTCTTAAAAGAGAGCTTCGTCTGTAATTTAACTAGACTCTGCGCGCAGGGTACATCCGGAACCAACTTGTCTTCCAATAAACTACTTCCTAATGCAACCATCTTACAAGGGAGAGTATGACCAAGTCAAAACTAAAGTGTGATATATCTATCTATATCTGATAAGAATATATATATTTTTATTTATTTTAGCAATATACACTTCCCGAATTCAACTGGAACCTCGCATACGATCAGGTAAACGAACCATACTTATATTCTTAAACAGAATCATTTGAAAAACCTCTTTTTAACACAAGAAATTCAAACGTCTCAACTTACGGCTTCGTTGATACGGCGACAGTTTTTACAGTTTTTACAAACCAGTTTTATGTAACGTCCAAGTATGGGATAAAATGAAGTTATTCACCAGGAGGGATTTCATATTTCTAATTTGGTTATGTGAAAAACAGTCGATATATTTCTAGTTAATCAGGCCAGATAACCAGATCAGATAAAAACCGACCAAGATCAAAAGTTTATGTAAAGTTGAGTTCATCAATAAGCTGACTAAATGTTTAGGAAAACCGTCGAGGAACAATTGACCTGTTCACTCCACAGCAAATTCCTATTCGAATGACAGTTTGGTACGCTGAAACTGCTGATGGTCTTCGGTGAGTGGTTGAAATTATGCGTTTAGAACTGATGTGATAGGTTAATGGAGTGATGGGCCTTCTGCTACATAAATAGTATCGTCGTTGTACATTTTCGATCACAAAAATCTTCAAACCCAGATGGTTTGTCAGCACATGAAGGTTTCAGTATGGGGACATGAAGTCTCTCCTTTTAAAAACTCTTCTTTATCGAGTCGTACATTTAAAAAGGATCGTGTGTGTTCTGATATCATGGTTTATCAAGCCACGCTCTTACAAAGTTCTGTATCATCAATGCATTTTAGGGGTCCTGCCCGACGGGATTTCCGCTGGGCAATAGCATCCGAAGAAACACCAGGGGAAGTTGATTTCAACCCCGTTATCTGGGCAGAAGATCCATCTGCTTTGGTGGAAGTTGTAAGCAAACTAGTATCATGGTCTTGTTAAGATATCAGATCTTATTTCTGTCGACCAAAATGTATTAAAATAAAGTTGAAAAAGAATAAGTTCTTGCATTATTTCACGTTTTAGGAGGCGAGGCACTGGAGGGCCACTGTTGCCGAGCCTATTGAGGGATGGGGAGGATTCTTCATAGAGGTTCGTGATCCGACATGTAGGCGATTTGATGGAAAATAACAGTGCCACCAAAATTCTTGGTCTTTCAATTATCCTTAAATATTGAGCGTTATTTGTATCACAATTGTATGTCATTCTATTCATCAAATCTTGATGTATATTGCAGGTGGTATTTGCTAACCAAGATGCCGAAGAACTTGTGTTTACTACGGAGTTGAACGTCATCCCACCGACCTATCCTTTCGAAGCTTGTAGCACTCCGACAGAATGTTGGGGTACCATTGTCTAAGGAATCTGTTTGATACACTGAAAATAAAATCTATGGATGCCGTCATAGTACTAAGGAAACATCTATAGTTTTTTTTGTAAATTATGAAATGGCATACTTTAATAAAAAATATCATGTTATTTAAACATCCTGTTACTATTCTATATTTACTATTTAGAAGTTTGGTAAATGTTAAATATGAATGCTTTGATTTTGACGGGAACTATTCGTTGATGCATAAGGCAAGGTATTAGATATTAAGAAAATCAGAATCACAGACACAAATTTCCATACACTTTTCTTGGTGACGTTTACAGTGCATTTTTATCATGACAACAAAGTACAAACAATAGTGTGCATACTATTAAAGATGGCATCACGAGAAAATTTGATCAGAATAGCAAAATCGGCAAGCATGCATTCAGAGACATCTATGAATGTATAATGTACAGGGTGTCCCGAAAGTATGCCCCCCCCCACCCTAGGTGGACATATACCAGTGTCGTGATAGTATGTGTCATATATCATTTTAAAGCTTATCCAAAGTTACATTGATTCGCCAAGTATCATGGTTCAACTCTCAAATATGAAAAGATTACAGGTATTTCAAAATTTAGTGTTTGGTCAAAATTAAGTTCAATTTTACACCAAATCACTAGTCAATGTGTCTACCCGGGCCATCTTAACAGCAGCAATTCTTTTCGGGTTGGATGGATATTGAGTTGGAAAAAGAGAACGGTGAGGGTAGAAACTCTAAAGAAACTCTTCTAAAGTCCCTTAACAGGTTTTAAGAGGGTTATAAAATTCCACACCCCTATTTGAAGGGCTTTTAAGGTCATATCTGACAATAATTACTGCTGTTAACATGGCCAAAGGGGGACACATTGACTAGTAATGTGGTGTAAAATTGAACTTTATTTTGACAAAACACTAACTTTTAGAATGACTGTAACTTTTTCCCATTTGGGAGTTAAACCATGATACTTGGCAAATCAATGTAACTTTGGATAAGCTTTAAAATGATATATGACACATACTATGAGGACACTGGAATATGTCTGCCTAGGGGGGGGGGGGCCATACTTTCGGGACACCCTGTATATGTACTGGGAGGTTTTGGATATGGGGTTTATCCAGAGGGAGATATGCATATCTACCTGAAGGACCGTAGGGACCGAAGGTAGATGTGCATATCTCACGAGGGATGAACCCAATATCCAAACCGACCGTACATAACTGCTTTATCCCATACCAAGTAGAGTTTTCAGGGGCACATGGCCATTTCAATACTACAAGGTGTAAAAATAAACTAATCATTCATATGCAAAGTCATTTTATTGCATTACCGAAAGCGGGAAGATATGCAACGGAAGCGGGAAGATATGCACGGGAGCGGGGGATATGGCGGGAGATATGGAGGTTCTGGATATGGAAACCTCAAAATCAGTATACGGGATATATCTTACCAATGAATTTATCTCCCTAAAACTCTACTTGGCATAGGGTAAAGTACCATATCTTTTTTAAAATACTACTTTCATTTATTTTATCACCACATTGAAATATGTCAAGTGCTGTTTATTACGCTCCTCAGTTATTTCAGTTATTTTTATATGAGCTGGAATCATTAATTAGCCAGTGGCCTTTTGGGGTTATTCCAACACATTTCAACATACTTAATTCATTGGCTCAAGCACTTGTCTCTTAACTCTGCAACGGCCTCAGATACGTATGGACGATGACCAACGATCTTTAGAATTCTAGTTATCAAAGCCATTAAAAACATTAATGTAAAACTAAACACTACAGGTGATGTAAATATATTTTGTGAAATATGGTCCCCATACAGCTCGTTTTGTGAGTAAATAAAACAATATCACAACCATAATTCACATGGATCAAAAGGCATCACTACGAGAATTACCGTTAGCAGTTCATCATGGTATGAATTTGACACAGGCTGTGTATACTTCATGAATTAAAGATAAAACCTAAACGTGATGTGACTGGTCGTAAAAGTAAATATACTCATATAAGAACGGGATATGAATATTTAACTTTTAGTCGACTAATTTTCATAAATACGATTTGATTTCATCGCTTGCAAAAATGTTGGCTTGAAATATGCCATTTGTATGTTTACAGTAATCATCAAAGTGAATGTAAATGCGTCGTAGAATCTGTATTTTTATCTACATTTCTCCGAATACACATTTTTTTAATCTGACCTTGATTTATCATGGCCAGATGATTAAAACCAAAGACTGATTAAAGCTCTTATCGAGAAACAATATTACAATTATACATCTATTCCAATATTGCATGAAAAATACATATCCTGGATCACAATAAGCGCGAGCTTGCTTACGCATTGTATAAAATCAACATTCCATATTAAAGAGTACTATGCTACTGTATGGATGGTACAGCGTCTAGTGTTTGTAAGGCTGGGATATTGCATTACCATTACTATTGAAAAAATATATATACGGAATAGTGAAACCGTTACACTTTTTGATTAACGTGTTTCACGTGCAATAATTAACCAAACAAGACTGTGGCTACGTACATTATCATAACTGCAATGTATAGAACACAACATACCAGACTGAATCACTTTCAAGGTTATTAACGGATGCCATCTTGTTTTCCTATATAGTCAATTATCTGTTACAGAAAAAGGTATTACGGGCTGGTAAGTAAAGCTAAGTATTCTTATAAATGCATATGGTGAAAGTTGTTGTTTTGTGATGGATTGCATGATTGCAGGATACGCATATCTACATGGGATAACATGTAATGTGTTTCAGAAATATTTACAAGTAAAATCATGATTAGGTCCCACAAATTAAACTCGTTAGGGAACTGCAATGCTTTTAACAGCTATTTAAATAAAAAATGTGTATCATTTCACAAAATATGTATCTCAATACTCTAATTGCAATGTGCTCATGTTGCTTCATCATTTGGAGAGATATTCTGTTGAATATTTGGAGGAATGGTTATCGTAAACGTGAATTGTTGATATCAATATTTATCCAATATAGTAGTTTTATAGGTAAATAACATGTGGGAATATAATTTGAGGTGAGGGGGATATACAATATAGAGATTATCAGGATATTGGGATTATCCCGAGGCCAATATAATATATCTGCCCGAGGGCCGTAGGTCAAGGGATAATCCAAATATCCTGAACCGACTATAGGATGATCTGTTTATCCCATACCAATCACATTGTTCAATTGGCCACAGTTCAGAAACTTTGCAACCAACCGTGGAATTTATAAAAATATTCATGTCCAGTTTTGTATTATTGTCCGTAGCCGGATTTTCCTGTTCAAATCTTTGATTATTAATGGGGCATACTGCTCCTTCCCTTCTTAAAAGCATCAAACAGATCGCGATTGTCTGCGTTTTTCTCCATTGTCGTTTACAGTATGAGAACGTTACAAAAAAGAATCAATACGGGAACAGCGATTATGACGTAGCGGGCAGATATACTATATCTGCCCGCTCGGAGCGGGACGTAAAGCTATATCTGCCCGCTGATGAAAATATAAGTTTTTACAAACCGGCTTTATGTACCTGTAACACGTCCAAGTATGGGATAAATATATTTATCCCATACTTGGACTTGTTACATAAGCCGGTTTGCAAAAACTTATATCTCCATCAGCGGGTAGATATATAGGGGTTATGCACTGGGAGGTTTTGAATACAGGGAATATCCCGAGATATATACAATATATCTTCCCGAGGGACCGAAGGGACCAAGGGAAGATGTATTGTCTATCGCAAGGGATATTTCCTGTATCCAAACCGACCGTGCATAACTGTTGTATTCAATACCTGATGAGGTTTGAAACAATAAGCATGTATCCCATATGTTCTGGTGTGTTTACTTGCAAAATATGTTATCATTTTCAAAAAAAATCAAGTTTTTTCCAAATTTGTTTTCAATTTGTTATCATTTTCAAAAAAATCAAATTTTTTCCTTTGTTTTCATTCCAAATTTAAAAAAAAAATTTAAATTCAACATTTTTTCAAAATTTTTTTACATAATTTTTTTCACATTTTTTTCAAATTTTTATTTTCAAATTTTTTTTCCGAATTTATTTTTTAATTTTTTTTTTAAATTTAAAATTTTTTTTTTTTGAGCGGGACATACGATTTATATGTTCCGGGAGCTCCGTTGGAGCGGGATATACGAAAAATATTTGCCCGGATATGGAATATATTCCCGGTTGATATGTCCGTGAAACCTCATCAGGTATGGAATACATAGTATGTTGATATCTTAGTGGATATATCATCAAGTTTCTCCAATGTCTTCCGTAAAAAATAGAATATGCAGCCACTACCATATGGTACTACCATACTTATGGAGACTACCATCATTAACAAATGTTAATACATACATACATTGCAGATGTGTTTACATTCACCATCGTGCATAGACCTTTGATTTACATCCAAATGTGCATTTTCATATAATTAGATATATAGGGGTTATGCACTGGGAGGTTTTGGATACAGGTAATATCCCGAGGTATATACAATATATTTTCCCGAGGGACCGAAGGGACCGAGGGAAGATGTATTGTATATCCCAAGGGATATTCCATGTATCCAAACCGACCGTGCATAACTGGTGTATCTCATACTTGAGTGGGTTTAGGGTAGATATAACCTTTTCACCTTTTTAAAATGACAAGATATTTATATTTAACATTTTCGTAATATTCTTTTTGTTCAATACAATGAAACTGTAACACTTAAACTTAAAAAATTTAAATTTTAAAATTAAGAAATTAAAACTTTTTATATTTAAACTTTTTTTAAACTTTTGAAAAATTCCCGGGAGCGGGATGGATATATTATATCTGCCCGCATTTGGCCTGGAGCGGGACATATACAATATATCCTGCCCGCTCCTCAGATACGATATATATTCCCGGGTGATATCTACCCCAAACCCACTCAAGTATGAGATACAGAAGGATATTTAAATATAGGCCAGTTCACTTTGTTTCTTTTTTGCTATAATTGGGAGCGAAAGTCAAAATAATTGGATGTTAAACTTTATTGGTATAATTAAAATGATATACATATAGCCTTATCATTAATTGAAAATCGGTTGCCTTTTATGGGTTTTAAATGGTCGTTATTCAGAAAAATACTTTATGAATCAAAGTATAAGATACTGATATTCCCCATTGGAAAAAATGAGGTTTTAATGACCACTTACAATTGACCTATAAGTGAAAAAGTCAAGATAGATTTGCTGTACTTCATATTCCGCAGATCTGGGGGTAAATACTAGGTTCCACAATAGCTTCTATTAGAATACCGTTTGAAAATATTACAGAGAATCCATCTTTTTTTCCTAAAGCTGGCTCTAAACATTAACGAAAGTGAATATTAGCAGATGTAGGTATCTTACATATTTCATACATATTGTTATATTCATTAATTTTTTGTGGAAGGTGTTCGGCGGTTGGTGGCTGGTGTTCGGTGTCTGTAACAAATGACAGGTGGTAACATTTTGTGTGTCAATGCCCTTTATCTTCTTGACTTGCGGACAAAAAACACAAAGACACTGACGACAAATAATGTTTTATATGTCTCTCCTTCAATTTGAAAAAAACTGGGTTACATTTAAGAATGTTATTTTTTCACCCAAAACAAAAAGCATTCATTCATTCAGATAAATTAATATATTTTACACACTAACCGATTTTTGACTTGTTTTATCCGCTGAGTTTCTTCTTAACACGTGTTAAAACAAATTAAAACTATAGCTCTAAGTCTAATTCAAGATACATTGCTGAAATCGGTACGTACACAATTACGTTGTACTTAATAAATACTTAAGAATTAATTGCAGTATAAATATTTTACTTGATTATTTCTTTATTCTAATGGTAATCTAGAATTTAATAATATAAAAATGTATAAATTGTATAATTATGGAATCAATAAATATGCTCCTTCGTACATGTCGTAAGAATGGTTGACAATTAGATTTGATCTCCAAAAGCGTATAAAGTGGTAGAGACAAATAATACACACATACTTCTACTAACCACGTGTGTATTTAATGACGAATATTCAAATTATATTCTGACCTAGAAACTTATTACAACTTTTTGTTTAAAGACTTTTCGAATGCAAACTAGTAATAGTAGATTTACCTATATTCATTTCAACTGTTTTCAATTTAAATTTAGTGATCATGGATGCAGTTTGCATTCGAGACGTCTAAATCAAAAAGTTGTTATTAGTCTGTGACAATGAACACCAATAAATGGTTTGAATAAACAAGTTTCCTTGGATATACGTATTGAATTGTAAAAATAAAAATGTAAATAGGGTCAACGTTATCGTTTAAAATTATTAGCAACAAATTATTTTGAATGACCCCTATGTCAAAGGTAATAACTTAAGAAATGTGCCAGATCCGTTCATACAATCTACAGTTTGCATAGTTCATCATGGTATGAATTTGACACAGGCTGTGTATACTTCATGAATTAAAGATCAATTATATCGATGTTCAGTATCACACGTACAGTTCTTCCCCGATGCCCTCACTATGGGACAAAGTTTTTGGCTTTATTTAATATTGTTTTTCCCGAAAATGGTGTCTAATAATCATGAATTCTCCAATACATCTGTTTTGGAGGATACATTTATATTAGACTCCATTAATCATTCCGCAAGTATAAGCTGTATCTGGTATTATTGTAAGTTATTGTGTATTTATCATCTTGGATTTTGTTATAGATGGCGTAGAGAATGGATGGTTGTGCAGTCCTAGCAGCCCTGTTGTTAGGTGTTGTGGCCACCTCAGTAGATGGACAACTGGATCTCAGTGTAGAGTACAGAGAACCACACAGGACTGAAGCGTAAGTCCACAACGTTATGGAATAATGGAAACTAGTGCGAGACATCCGATAGCACAAGACAACAGTTTTATTTAGTGATATCGCAAATTAGCGAGATCAATAGTGCAAAAATAGTTCATTCATGGAACGAAGCGTGAAACTTTCCACATATCATCAGAATACCATTGCCTTTGATTTAAGAGCCAGAGCCATTTTTGTAGCTCACTAGAATGACCGAAAAATTGCAAATACCCCCTCCCATCAAATCCTGGGGGAGGGGGAGGGAAGAATTATTTTTTTGTTGATCTTTTTTTTGAATATGATCTATATTCATTTTTAGTATGTTATTTTCAGTGTTTAAAAACAATTTTCAAGATTGCATCAGTATTTCTCATGGATATTCATTGTTAAAGCCTGACCAAGGGCGACGCCCACTTTATCAACATGTTAAATATACAAGTTAATGAGTCTTCTATTATGAATAGGAAAATTACCTAATATGGCTGAATAAAACTGACAAGATTAAGTCAGTTACTTATGTAACTCAAGTCAATTTCACTGTTAAAGGCTTGTGAAAGGCCACACCCCTTTTAGATATAAAGATATAATAATATATAATTCACAATTAATGATACATAATTTTTAATGAAAGCACTTTGACTAATTGATACAAGTTACCTCATTAAGTATCTTAACTGCAGTTCAAATATCCTATTTTGTGCATTTAAGCACTTCAACACTCTATTATCATTATCACTGACTTAGGTGCCATGTCCATTACAATCCCTGTCACACAAATACAGGGCAGTACATGCATAATATTGGCTTTAAAGCACTTGCATCTTTTTGTTGAGCACTGTTGTTTGCAGCTACATTTTACTAGCATTTGGCATGCATCTGAAGCTTGGGGCAATGTTTTCCATACTGGCACATAAATCATTTTTCTAGCCTTTGTGGTAATGGATTCCCAACTCAATTGTGAGAGTGAAGCGAGGACTGACATAGGTATAATTGTCTGGCCCGAACTTATGCAACTTATGGTGGGATGTTCTCAATTTGTGAACATTTCTTGTCTTGCAGCATTTACAGTTGTTTCATTGTTGTCTCTATTGTATAAAATCACAACAAAACGTTCAATGATTGGCATAACTTTGGCTTACTTATTGGGATCTTCAGCCAAAGTTTTAAGTGCATTTGTCAACTCGGATAAGTAATTCAATGTTTCTACGCTGTTGTTTTTAATTTACCATGGAATCCGGATATAGTGTCTGAACCTGTGGGGGCATGAAATAAGGGGAGACACATAGTTCTACCATGTCAAAGTGCAGCTGCCATTTCATGTGAGATATCTCTAATTTTTTACTTTTCCCAAAGCTATCCATTTTTGAACTTTAAGTTCTGATGATATACTGACTGTGAGACAGACAATATCAGTCTACTGTTCTAATCATCAATGTGTTCTACCCAGACTTTACTGCACGGTGGATGTGCTTATTCATGTGTTGATGGGGAAATGTCTTGAATGGGCATTGGGGGATATGATAATACATCTTACAATACATTGTTTACATCATCTCTAATAAATTCCAATTTGATGGTAACATTTCATCTACCTTTCGGCACTTAATTAGTTGTTTTAATTGTTCCATTTTGAGATAAAGAGGGTGGGAAGGATTGGTTTTCACGTTTGAAGAACTCCTCAAGATGACTGTCTCTATTCTGACATGCAATGAAAAGTCTTGAAAAAGAGAGCACAATCATTTTTTCAATGATGTTTCCTTGGTAACATTCACATTTGTTTTCTGTTCCTTAAATATTAGAAAATTGTTTCTTTTTATACTTTTGTACTTGGCCACTTTGATCCATTTCCCAAAGATGACCCAGGTTCACAAGCAGAATGTTGTTTTATGATTATTCTCTACAAGTTTGGATCGATTAACTTAAATAGTGTTACCTTCATTTAGAAATGATGATGTTGAACTGATGTTAAACTGAAATACACGCCATCTTCACAATTTCACATTTTACTTCGCGCATGTGCTGCCCTGAGAGACCTCATGCTCATGATTGTGCACGTAATCATGTCCTGCAATTTGATTTTACATCGTATACTGATGGACGTGATTTAAATAAATTAGGTTCATGAGTACGAAAGAATATGATAGTATTATGGGAACAACTCACTTCTTCTGGACTGATATTGAGGATACAATATCTTTGTTGTCTAATGAGTACAAGTCATTTGAAGTCTCCAGAAAGGATTTCCCCTCTATGGTTTCTGATAATACAGTAGTTTCACATTATCTTTGAATCTTTGTTGTATGCTTATACTTTGTTCATAATTAGATAGGTCTTCATCTTGATCATTATTTATATTGTTCTCAAATTCATGATCAGTCTGACAAATTCAGGGTCCCCAACCATCCAATAGAGTTGTCTGGTTGTCAAAGAGCCCCACTGCTCCACCGTTTGATTTATCTAGACTGTTATTCTGCTTGTGAACCTGGTCAGTAGCACTAGCAATGGCTGAAAAGCTCCATCTTGGTAACAGTGAAGTGAAGGCTTCGTAGACTTCTGGATGTATTTGTTATAGTTGTAGCATATTCCCAATGTGAACTGGTACTCATAAAGCATATTGACAAGGTCAAAAAACGAAAAACCAGGTGATAAGCTTGCTAATTGACTGGAGATAAAGAAGGAAATTGCCCTCTCTGATAGCACACACTTAGTTAATGCACAGTATTTCGATTCAAATAATCGGAAACCAAAACTTAAAGACTGGTACATTCTGTTGGTCAGCACACCATTCATCAAACTCTTTATCATCATCTAGATTTTGGACAGCTGTATATGTAGTATAGGCTCTCTTGAGAATTTAGAGACTGCAGGCTGTGACTGTGGTGGCCCTTCTGGTTCTTGTTCAAACCCATAAGAGGTTTAATAGCCTAAATGTTCAGCATATGAAAAGTGGGTGTCCCCCATGACTAGTCTTTAACAACTATGAAAATCAAAGAGAAACCATCTGGAAATAAAGAGGAAAATTCTCCTGTCCTATAGCCCTCACATAGTCTAGGCACAGTATTTCAATTTAAATAATCAGAAACCAAAGCCTGAAGACTGGTACATTCTGTTGGTCAGCACACCATTCATCAAACTGTTTAAGCACGTCATCATCTAGATTCTGGACAGTTGTATCTGTAGCATAGGTTTTCTTCAGGAGAATATAGACTCGACATACATGTACATAGAATAGTGGATACATGTTGTAGATCTGGGACATTTGTTGCTCGCTTTCTTCTTTCTTCTAAACAGGGGTGTGATATGTTATGAGCCTTTAAGAAGTCAAATTCTAAGATTAATTATAGCACCTAACATCAAGGGTATCTGGTCTTATGCAGAAAGCTGAATTACATTCATTTATTCAACCCATGATAGAGATTTAATAACCTAAATGTTCAAGATATGAAAAGTGGGCGTCGCCCATGATTAGTCTTTAACAATGATGAAAATCGATGATAAATCATCTTGTAATGTTTGCAAAATTTTTTTACCATGAAAATAGCACACTAAAACTGTGGTATGACCATATTCAAAGAAATTTTTTTATGAAAAAAATATTTCTATTTCTCCCCACCCCCACGGGATTTGGTGGGAGGGGGTACTTACTATTTTTTGATCATTCTAGTGGACCACAAAAATGGCTCTGGCTCTTAAATCAAAGGGAAAGGTATTCTGATGATATGTGGAAAGTTTCATGCTTCGTTCCATGAACGAACTATTTGCCTGTTTTCTTGCACTATTGATCTCGCTAAATGTTCCTCATTTTTATTCATATTCTCACATCGATGATTGATACAAAAATTATTTACTGTTCAATGTAATAAGAAAGGATTTAACGTCATGCTATTATTTTGTTGTATTGAATTGTATTGTATTATTGTTTTCAAAGGACATATATGATAGTTGCACCGAGACGCTTTCGCCCAAATCAAGTGTACCGTTTGTATGTCACCATTTTGAAGCAAGAGTACCATAGTCTTCACTTCCATGCCATTATTCGCAATGTTGACCTCCGTTCAGAGATAGGTGGCGTCTCTGGTACGTTCAACAGAGTCGGGGGCCGAGAGCTGGAAATCAAAGTAAGAAGATAACGGATTTCAATATATATTTAGTATGTTTGCAATAGTATGGTATTCTTACTAGTAGTTGGTACCTTAAGTAATTCATGCACTTTATTTTATTGCAGTAAAATATAAACACATTCATCTTCAAACAAGGCATCCAAACAAAAAGGAGCTATAACTTTTTAGACGTTTTATACGCTAATAAAAAGAAAAATATTTGTAATATTTATAATATAGTCGCCGGGAGTTGTTATGTTCATTAAAACTGCGAACATACGCTCCCCTCCATAAGTTTGGCAACCTTTTTCCCCCCATTGAACTACGTGTTAAAGCCTCTTTACCTTTGAATTTTTATTTACTTAATCTGCGACGAAAATACTTCTACTATTAATGGAAACGTAATTTGACTTTAATTCCAATACCTCCAAATTTTCTCAATTTTTTATCTCAATTACAATAGGTCAAAAATCGATGATAAATTTGATGAATTTTTGAAAATCGACATTCCCATGTTAACCAATGGGAAATGGTAGGTTTGCCGCAAGTCATATGACAGAATATCCATCCATCCGAGTCCTTGCTAAAAATACGAGTTAGGCAGGCAATTGAATTTGCTAACTTTATTTAACAAAAAATTGATATGTTTCTTCAGGTTCAACAAAGTTATAAGGCTTTAAAGTCAAAATTGTTTTTCAAAAAACCCCTCCCATTGAAATAACACAGGAGGCGAAAAATTATTTTCAAAAAATGACTTTGAAGCGCTGTAACTTTAATATTCATCAAATAAACTAAACACTTAGCGTTCATAAAAGTTAGACAATTCAATTTTCTATACAAAAATATTTTTTGCTGAATCTTTTACTGAAAAGATATCCTGATTTCTGATTTGCCCCGAACCCTCAATTTCCCATTGGATTACATGGGAATGACGATTTTCAAAAATCCATCAAATTTATCATCAATTTTCGACCTATTGTAATTGAGGAAAAAAATTGAGAAAATTTGGGGGTATTGGAAATAAAGTCAAGTTACGTTTCCATCAATATTATAAGTTATATCATCGTCGGTTAAGTAAATAACAATTCAAACGTAAAGAGGCTTTAACAGGTAGTTCAATGGGGAAAAAAGGTTGCCAAACTTATGGAGGGGAGTGTACAAAATAATTATTCAAGAGAATCTCATTGAAAAACGATATCCAGTATTTTAATTGCTGAAATAACAAATAACTCGAGAAACAAACGAAAAGTTATAAAAATCATTGTTGACCTAGAATTTGTTTTCCTTTTGTCGAAAATTGGCCGGCTTAACTAATGGCCCAAATTTCTGAGCTGGGACCAAAATTCGGTTACCTATTTCATTTACGAAATATCAACTTTAGCTTGAGCTCGGCCTTTTATTTCGATTCAGTATTCTAGTAACAAGGAAGAATTTTTATAGGTAGCAGAATTTTAGTTGATCTCTAAAGAACTTAAAATATCAACATTGCTTTTTAAGGTCCCTGAATTTGTTATTCCTGGGAACTACTCTCTCTATGTCGAGGCGAAACATGTGGATGGTGTTGGTGGCGCCATCTATCACAACGAAACAGCACTCATATTTGACACCAAGCAGATGTCTATCTTTATTGAGACAGACAAGGTGATATACAACAGAGGAAACAGTGGTAAACACTATAATAAGTTTCAGACACTAGCAAGCACATTAGTTATATAGTCTCAGTCAAACTAATTTAATGTGGAAATGCGCTTGCTTAATTACTGTATCCAGAGAACAGAAGAATGATAAAACCATGTTGTATATCAACATGTAGCGCGTATATTTACATAACATTATAAACAAAATAAATAAATTAGTGTTGACAGACAATAATTAAACACATCTTTTTTCTAGTGAGGTTTCGAGTGATTCCAGTCTTGCCGAATCTAATGCCCGTACAAGGAACAATGGACATATTTGTTAAAGAGAGTAACGGTGTCGTTGTAAGAAGATGGCTTGCACAGGCTGTCAACAATGGTGAGATTCTCAAATACAGCAACCAAAATAGAAATGAAAACCACAAAATAGAGGAAGTTATTATGTATTTGACCCAATAAAGCAAGCCTCGACATTTCTAGCAAAATAAAAATTAAATTTAAGTAGTTATTCAAATGACACGCAACCGAAAAGTGTACCTAGTCACTGATTTCATCCAGTCGCTGATTCTAGGTATTATAGAGAAGAGTTTTGATCTACCCCAGTATGTGGTATATGGCAGATTTGAATTCTAGGTATTATAGAGAAGAGTTTTGATCTACCCCAGTATGTGGTATATGGCAGATTTGAATTCTAGGTATTATAGAGAAGAGTTTTGATCTACCCCAGTATGTGGTATATGGCAGATTTGAATTCTAGGTATTATAGAGAAGAGTTTTGATCTACCTCAGTATGTGGTATATGGCAGATTTGAATTCTAGGTATTATAGAGAAGAGTTTTGATCTACCCCAGTATGTGGTATATGGCAGATTTGAATGGATAATTGAAATACAAGCATTTGTAAGTACACATATTAACTTATAAAACACATATCGAACAAAAACAGCTTTAACATATGATATAAAATAACTATGTGGATATACTATTGGATAATTTAAGTAGAGTGCAGTAAGGAACCGCCATTTATAAGAAAGACAGCTAGACAGCCAAAAACAATGAAAAAATCCAAGCATTTTAATCATTACCAGTTTACCTGTAATGCGTGACATTCAGTGTCAAATGATAAAAAATAAAATATATTGTTTTAAAATAAACATCCATTTTCTGAGGAGTTGCCAATTCCATATTAAAAAATCAAAAAAGAATACAATAACTTGTTTTGAATTCTTAAATATTTTTTAGGGGCATGTATATACGAAGAAGATTCGTATTGAGGAAATATGTAAGTTTTCAATAATATTGACGTAATAATTACCATAAATATCCGCAAGATCACATAATTTTGATATAACTCGATCCATTCAGCCTCATTTAATAAAATCGTTTTAGTCAATGACGTACTAACAGGATCAAAACCCAGGATATGAACATTAGAAGAAAATGTTCACAAACCTTGATATTTTTTATGGTAATTTCAAAGCTATAGATATGTAAGCATTACTATTCATACACATGCTTTCTATTTTGAAAACGTCAATGTGTTATGTATATTTCTTAGTTTTTCAAAGAAATCTATAAAACTCCATTGTGGGTTTATCTTTACATAGTAGTTTCAATCACGACCATCACTTTTCAAACGAGTTTCCTTGAAACATCAAACGGTATAGAACTAAATGGGACTGTCATTCACTCTTTATTAAGCAGTAAAAAATGATTTGCTAAGTAGGTGACAAAATGTTTCTAGTTTCCTGCTTATTGTCGAGTCTCGCATCATGCGATTGTAATTTTATGCGATCTGTCTTCATAGGGTGTAAACGTGGCGACTGCATAGGCCATTAGTTACCCTGCCCACCGCTTGCTGTATGGTTGTCTTATATTCTTACAATGCTAACTGTTTTATGATTACTGTATTTTATTAGTTCCAGAGAGAATGATTGTTAACGTGACACTTCCACCATTCATAAAGACTTCGGACTATGGATTGGCTGGTTTCGTGAAAGCATAGTGAGTTTAACTGCCGGTGTAAAAGCGTAGGTGGTCCTATCAAATTATGGTCCTAAGTCTCTATTGATTTATATGGTGACCTGATTACAATTATTTTCCTTATTATTTATACACAATCAGGGCCAGAAAAGGCCGTTAGGAAAGGGGACCATAATCCCCAGGGGACCATAATTTCTTTCACACCGGGATTTTTCTGGCATTTCCAAAATGTACGTATATACATACGCATAGCGGCTCGTGAAAGAACTGGTTGACGGTTCATATGCAGAACTGTAATCTTAACATCTTCAAATGTATTGTGATTACAGTTACTTCCCGAGTTGGCTTCCCATGAAAGGGAATGGAACAGTGGAACTAAGCGTTGAGGGTTTCAAGGGGTCATCCTATAAATTCAACATTCCATACGTAAGAAAATTAAACAGGAAATGAGCATCCGAAAAATTAAATGCATTCGTTTAAAATTCCGAGCCTCTTCTTATTGATTTCATATACTTTTAGTTTGAAGATGAATATCAATTTATCTTTACTATGAATGAACTGAGAAGGATAACTGGTGTGCCTGACCTATCAAACAAAGCAATCAAAGTCACTGCGTGGGTCTACGACCGTGATACTTACGAATATATGTGGGGCGAAGCAAAAACAGTCATATATGATGGTGGAGTGGAAATGTATTTTGTAGAAGATATCGTCAGAACATTCAAGCCAAATATGCCATTCAACTTTCACGTTAGTACATATTTTCCGTTTACATTGAACGATATTAAGGTAATATCAACAAACGTCTGTCAAGATATGTTAAAAAGGCGTAATAAAAGCGACACATTTTTACGTCAATTTTATTTTGTCCGACAGAAGTAATCAAATGAGAAAATAAATTACGGAAAATTATATCTATTCCAGCTTAGTATAGCCACGAACTTGTATGAGATTCCGAGAATATGTTATTGACTTCATAAATGTTTTTCCAGGTGGCCGTCAAAAAGAGAGACGGTACCCCTCCTTCGTGGTTCGGTAACGCAAATGTTGAACTTGAGATAATTTACCAGGAGGAGTCGGGGAGAAGTAGGAGAGACCTTGAACGTGTAGCGGTTCCTGATGATAATATCATTGCTTATACAATAACTCCTGGAATAAATGACCAGTTTATTTCAATACAAGTAGGTATTGTGGCAGTAATTAATAATGCATTAAAAATCACAAACGGCAAAGGACAATGTTGGTCAATTGAAATACTTGTTTATCCGAACGCCTCTTGGACTGGACAAAAATGTTCTTCAGATAATTAGCAGGTTTTCACATTTCAATGTCCTTCAATATGTGATTCAATGTGAGATAATAAATGTTGGACCAATAAAGTTTTCACATTTGAGTGGTGTTCGGATAAACATCTAATATCACATGTACGTATGTAATACATCATCTCATATTAGGATATTTTCTAGGCGAGGTATAGGGGTCAGGGCATGAACTTGCCAAGAAAACGGATGACTGCCTACCGTGTCTATTCAACAAACAAATATTACATACAAGTTACAACTTCTACGTTGGCACCAAAGGTATGTCCATTTTTGGTAAAAAGTGGAATCTGGACTAATTAAAGCTTCCTTTAGTTCTTAATTAAGCTCTTTAGAACGTTTGTAATTGTAACGATACAAAAACTAAACTGATTCTTACAACGCGCCAAATATTCTAGATATAATGGCAATGGTGTTTGTTGTTGCATGTTATTTCTTTCTTTTAGGTGAACAGATACATCATATTTACGGTTAGGACAAACACGTACGTTGACACTATTTATTATCACGTAAGTATAATATTCCCAGTATCAATTTTATTAATGCACATTGTATTTAACGCCGTTGGTAGCACACCAGAATTAGTTGAAAATGATACGTGCAGCAACTATTAAAGGGACAATTTTGTAAGAATGTTTGTCCCTCGAGCTTCATCACTATATTGATATCGATAATGACTTCACTTGTTGATAAACTAAGCATTTAACCAAAATATGTACAATGGATTCGAAGGTCCATCATTACATTGCTAAGATTTGGTACCATCAATCTACAATTTGGTTTCACTTCGCCAAATTCATATTCAGATAGTCTGTGGAGGTAATATGGTCATGTCGGACGAGCTACCAATGACATCGATGCTGAAAACATTCTCAGTTGCTTTATCACGTGACATGATGCCAAGTGCGCGAATGGTTGTTTATTTCGTAAAGAGGGGAGAAGTTGTAGCTGATGCGTTGTCATTCTATGTCGATGGTTCTTCCCTACATGAGGTAAGAGCACCTTACCTACTAGAATATCTTATTTTTTCCAAGTAGTCCGACGGAAATATTACAGATGCTGCATTGGCGTGTTCGACCAAAGCTACGTCACACCTTTTTCACAACTCTCACATGACTTCTTGCTTCAAAAACAGGTTGATGTTGAACTGAACTGGGGTAAAGATTTCGGACCAGCATTTGTCGAAGTAATTGGCACAACTGATCCTGGGACATTAATAGCATTTAATGCAATCAACTACTATCTTTACTCTCTGGGCGCAAGAAACTTCATTACTGAACAAGATGTAAGTCGTATTTCCATACACAGATATGGGCTTATGGTTTTTCTACCGATTTATTTAACAATATGATACTATATGATACGGTAAGGGCTTTGGATTCTTTCAGGATAGCTTCATTCCAGAAGGATATCGACACGACTTGTTTTAGTGAGAATAATACACATCTGACATATTTTCGTGGATGTATATCTATATACCTGTAGTTTATTGTAATTATGTATAATGTAATATGTATTTCTCTTTGCGTTTAGATTATAGATGAGTTGCTCACGTATGACAGTCATGCAAATGTGAGTGCAAGTGTCAGTTGGATTGGGGATGACTGGAACCGAAAGACCATGTATTTCCCAACGCAGACTTATGGATCTGATGCTAACACAACATTTGTTGTAAGTGCCAACCACCAATTTCCAATTATATATTAGCCAACATTATTTTAATTAATCGTATTGTACTAAGTTCAATAAGTTATTATCTCATGAACCTAATTTTTAAAATTGGGTTTGTTTTTGTATTTCAGTTTTCCGGACTTCATGTATTTACTGATGCAAATTTGACAACAGTGCCAAGTAAGTTTGTAATTCGTAATATAGATATATACGCTGATTTATGTTTTTCTCTTGCATGAGTTTTTATATACTACTATTTAGTTTTCCTTATGAACTGACTGTACTTCTCAATTTCTTATTGTGTTTCAACATTTCTTTCTTCTTGTGCTTAGCACACTTTCATGAAATGCCATGCATTATATACTTGTACTGTTTGTACAGGTGACTGTAACGCAACTAGCGGCTGGATGACGTGCTATGACGGTAGCTGCTACAGAGTGGAGAAGAAATGTGACAAACAATTAGACTGCAATGACGGGGCGGATGAAAGTGGATGTGAGTAACGTATGTTCACAATACAAGCACGTAATCGACTATTGTAGTTTTAGAATTTTAAATAACCGTTAAACAGTATATTTTGTGATTTTGTTTATTTCAAATGCTGTTATTTGTCCTCTATGTCATTCAAGGTGGCTTGGATAAGGGCACTGAATTGACTATTCAGTATGATTTCTATAAGGACTTTAATCGCCACCAGCCATACGTTGAGCCGTATGAGCCTGTCAGTTGGATGTGGCACACAGATTATACTAAGTAAGTTACGAATTAGCAATTGAATCTAACAGGAATGAAAAATGGATGGCACTACTTCTGCATATTATGATGAATTTACAAAGAAAAGTGCATATTAAATGAAAATGTTTTATAAAATATATTGTTTTTTTACACCAAATCAAATACAACCCTTCCGAACAAAGAATTGATCATAGGTTGATGATGGATAGGTGTTTGTCACATTTTTTAGACCAAGCGGTGAAAGTTACTCCTGGGCTTCTCCCACATTCACTCCGTTCTTCTACGCTTTGTCTGCTCTCTCCGTCAGCAGGGATAATGGACTTGGGGTTGTTCAGCAACCCTACAGGGTAAATATAATCATTCATTACATTTTCAAATGATACATGAACAAAGTGTCGACTTTCACAGAATTTTCTCATAGATATAGCTCGCAGTGATTAGTGAAATTATATCAATGCCATTTTTACTACATTATTTAACTTCATACAGAGACAATATTTCAGGTCGACATGACGAGAGGGTTATACGCAATTTGTGAATACCCGAAAGCTGCGCGTAAGGGGGAGCAAATTGGTATCCAGTTGTGGCTGTCAAGTTTTGTTGATACTGTGATGGAGGTACGGAGATAACCATACACGTTTGTATGATACGATGTTTTCCCCTTAATTCAAAAGTTCGTCTCTTTATATCATATCCTCTATCTTTTCCGCATCATTGCTGTTATTATGATACTACGGGGTTTGTATTTTTATAGGTCTTGGTGACTCTTCCGGCATCTGACCAGTATAGGTTTGTAGCGGTTGGAGATGAACTGAAGAGTTACATTGATCATTATTCACCTAAACTTATTGATGAGGAGATACAAACGTTGGTGTATGTGAGTATATGTCACGATGAGATTGCCTTGAGGAGACATGATGTAAGATAATCGGGGGCTTTTGCCTAAAATTACGATACGCAAGCCAAAATCAAATTCAAATAACCAACTTAAAGATAATTTAACAGAACATACAATATGTCTCGCCTATCAATACTTAAATTAGTAAACATTTTACTATATATGTAGTTATAATATTGGACTCATAACTTCGATCAAAAAGTTCATGATTAACCCATCTTCATAATATTATATTATTGTACGTAGCTTGAACCTGGAGAGAAACGGTTTATACACATGCCAATTCTTCCTACGAGTGTTGGGATCACAGAATTTGAAATAATTGCAAACACGTTTGATAATAGTGAAGGATGTTCTGGATCCATCGAAATAACGGTAAGCCTAAGAACCATTTGACCAAACGTAAGGATTTTGTTAAGTTAGATTATCCATCCGTCTTGTAGAAAAGGAAGGAACAACCCTCCAACGACGACGTTTCTAATTAAAGATGCACAGCTTTGGTAAAATTGACATTATTTATTGTATCGTTATTGTTGTAGCATTTTAGTTACTATTAACAATTATCAATAACAAATTTAACATAACATATATATATATAAATTCTATTAAGATGTCTTTTTCTTAGATGGATGGTGTTCAGAATGAGTGGCACACTCCTTACTTTGTTGACCTTGTAAAGTTTAGCCAAGTTATCATTCCTGACTTGTGGATACCTATACCAGAGCGATTCATTCTTCCGGAACAGAGGCACCATCTATACGTACCAGGCTCTACCAGTACTACTGTATCAGTAGTAGGTGAGAAATTGTGTGTGCATTTAAACACATGCCAATTGGTCAATCAAGTCAATCACACCACCTTTCAGTGATTATGTTCATTCATACATTTCGGAGCAGTAAATGTATAAACATATTGTTTTTCAAAAACATCTTACATTCTTAGAAAGCAAGCCAAGAATTCCCATTCTTTCTATTGAAAATGGATTCTAGCAATTCTATCCCACATGAATCCATTTTTCGGGACTCAATCGACTGGAGTTCTTCTGAGAAAGTTAGGATTTCAGCAAGGGTTTATTGACTTAACATGGGGATGAAATTGACTTTAAAGCTGCACATCGCCACGTACATGTATGGCATCATGGGGATAGATACAAAGTTTTCATTATCTCAGAAGAACTCGAGTTGATGGAGTCCCAACGAGTAAATTAACTTGGGAGAGTATTGTTTGAATATATTTTCAATAGTAAGAATAGGGGTTCTTAAACAGGAAAAGTTGGTTAGTTAGACTACAGTCGCAAATTGGCAAGGTCTCGTGTGGCTTTGAAGTTCATATAAGCTTCAAATTTAAGTTATAAAAAGTAAGTACGAATCAAATCAAGGTAGTTTTAAGGAAAGTCCAACCATGTAGTTTCAAATCCACATAATATTGCACAAATATTTTACAAAGATGCAAATTGAATTAAAAGTCCAACTTACAACATAGGTGATGTTGTCGGGCCTGCCTTTTACACAGACGATCTGTCAGTGGGTGAGATCCTTGGTTTGCCAGCAGGAACCGTGGAGAGTTATTTCTTTGAATTTAGCCAGAATCTTTGGTACTTGAAATTCCTCCAGGACACAGACCAGCTGACGTATGATGTTGCTGTAGCAGCACTGCTGAGAATGAGCACAAGTTAGTATAATCAATATTTAATGTGATCCTTGCTGATTAAGGAAGAACTAATGCACTCAAAAATTTTGAAGCAAGTCTGATGCAGTCAGCAATTCAAGTCCTATGAATCATAAACGCGCTCCGCATCGATGGGAACCAAACCTAGCTCTTCCCAATCGCTCGACTAATGCAAACCAACTAAATGATCTTTGTAACGGACTTAGTAGTTGCAATTCTTTTACACTAACTGTGGCTAATATATTCTCATACAAGTTGTATTTTTATGTTCTAGGTTTCGAGCAAATCCACAGATTCCGACATCCAAGTGGAGGTTTTTCATTATTTTGGGACTCGGAACCAAGCCTTTGGTAAGTACTAATATTCATAAACTCACTTTCATTAACAATATCCACAGAGTGTGACATCTCCATTATCGACATAGTTTTACATCTCTTTTTTTAACAGGGTGACGTCACTATTATTCAACCAATTGAAGTTCGCTAGAGATTCTGAATGGGAAGAGGTGTTTTTCGTCGATCCCGAGTTCATGAATGACGTGGCACTTTGGATCGTATCAAGACAGAACACTTCTGTCGGCTGCTGGAAAGAAATTGGCACGACATATATGAGGCAATTTATTCCTAAACTGCAGACTCTTAACGGAAAGGAAGATTACTGGAACATAACTCTAACTGCTTATGTAGTCATAGCATTGTCCGGGAATGTAGCACTGAGTGGGGTTAGTTGTATTGTATATCATAAGGTTGAAAAACGAATTGAAATTTATTCAAAAATACAACACGTTAAAATGCATACATGCGTTACTTCAATTATATTTAAACCACCTTAATACTCAAAGCATAATTTCAAAACACTGATATTTTCAGGAAGCATCAAGCGCAGTTGAGAAAGCAAAAAACTTAGGTGCAGATTTCCTTGCGACAACCTTGGATCTCATGGACAACTCTTTTGATATCGCCATAGTAACATATGCATTACACGCAGCGGAACATAGAATAAAGAAAGAGTTCTTCAACAAACTGAAGAAAATGAGCCGTGAAGGTGAAACTCAATACCCCTAGCAGTGTTATAGAATAGCGTTTGAAGACATTTTTTGAGTTGATTTAGCATTGGGGTCTTTATGAATTGTATATCCATCTTATATCACTTCTATTGGTAGGAAGAATTGTGGCATCTCTTCTCTATCAGCGAAGGGATGTGTGGTTAGCTTTAATCCACGCATCATTGGTTGATAGGCTAGGTGTATCACATTCAACGTAAATGGTTTGCGGAGGATTAAAATGGGTAAAGGGATACAGCTTTTTAAGGGTGATAGTTTTCTTCTGTGTTATAATGGTCAAATGGCCCATTGGTTCTATGGTGCGGATCGACTCCAATCTATGCCTTTCCATATCAGTCATATTGGTAAATATGGTATCGGGTGTCAAAATCAATCTAATCTAATAGCTGATCTATATATAACCATTTGACCAACCCTGGCTGATGCTGACCTCATTTGAATGGAGCTAGGATGAAGAAAACAATCATATCTAGGATATCGTAAGACTTGCTTGATTCAATTTGACTTTACAAAGCCTTAACGTAGACAATGTTATATTTTCAGATAAGCAGGACGAGTGGCCATATTGGTCAAGTAAAGAAGTTGACCCTATGAAGGTGGAGACGATAGATGTCACTCCGTTCTTGTTCCCCAACGAGCAGTTTGACGCTGACGTGGACACCAATCTCGGAACGGCGTATGCACTCATGTCCTATGTGAAAGAGAATTACATCACCGATGCGTCTAAGATTATGTACTGGATCCAATCAAGGAGGCAGACCAATGGAGGATGGAGCGGTACTGTGGTGAGCATTGAGTAACATACGGTATATGTACCTATTGGATACATTTACGAGGATGTGAGGGATGCCCACCCTCAGATCCTCCATTCATTTATTGATCTTTGTCCCTTATGCACTATCAGTAGAATGCTACTAAATATATATGACGTTTTAATGTAGCTTGTGGATGGATGGTATCGCAAATGCTCCTACTGCATCAATAAGGAGCTAGTGAAGACACAGATTCATCTAGGACAACAAGACATTCTCGTGTATTTACAACAAACATGTATTTCTTTGCTCTTCGAAATTTAAGGTGTTTTTTCAGGACTCTATAGCTAATCTACAGGCGTTGTATATGTATGGAGTGCGCAATCCTAACAGAGACCTTTACCACTTAGAGCTAACGATAGAGTCAACAGCCACACCAGAGTGGTCAAAGGTGATCACGCTCACAAAGAACAACTTCAACATCGAGCAGCAAGTAGAGGTGAGAACGTTAGTATAAAACGATGTTTTACATGTTCAACACCAAGTCATGATGTAAGGTTATGCTTTATGTGTCGTCAGATGTCTTAGATCTTTGAATTTATTTTTGGTATATTCCTGTTGTAGATTCCGAATGTTTGGGGGAGTGTGAAGGTGACGGCGAGAGGCAACGGGTTGGCCATGCTACAGGTCTGTAGGCGGTCATTATACATGTATAGGTCATCCAGCTACATATATGTATCTTGAACCTTTTCATAGCTTCTATAAGTACTGACCATCGCGAAGAATGTCAAAGACCTAACGTTTTTCGACCCTACTATGATACATTTTCTTTGTGGTCAATCGTCGTGGATATGCATTGCTACATACTTTAGCGTTGTACCTCCGGAACTTATTGCATTCAGCCGTACACTTGGCATGTGCAACTATCATTTCCAATCTCACAACCGATGTTGTATATATTTTTTTCTTTTTGTCAAAATAGGTAAGGACAAGTGCCAACCAAGAATTTGTGGAACAGCTAAGGGACCCAGATGATCCACCGCCTGGTATAGAGCGCCATTTTGATCTGACCATCAACCTCCAATGGGGCGGCGCCAACTTCAGTATAATGTATATACAACCATGTGCAAGGTCGGTGATATTATAGCCCAATTTAAATTTATGAAAATAAGCAAATGTGCAATTTCTCAGTGAATTAAAATGAATGACTTTGCATGTTTCTTTTACTCACAATGACATTATTACTTCCACATCCCATAATGTTTAATGCTAAATACACAAAGTTATTTCGAGAAAAAAGCAACTGTTCAGAGCCTAACAAAAAACATCAGGCACGAATGTAAGAATGAAATCAGAAGAAATAAGCAACACTCATGTTCTTTGGACATAGGTGTATTCTAACTTCATGAGAAACAAGCTGATTCTGTTTTAGGTGGCATAGGATAGATAAAGGTCCCCATAGTATGTTGGCCTTCTTCCAAATAGATCTGCCAACCGGTTATGTTGTCATCGAGAAAGAATTGGTAAAGCAGCGCCAACGAGACAAGTTTATCAGAAGAAACATGTTTTCCGGTAATACGTTGGAGATCTTTGTTGATAAGGTAATTGAATGCATTATAACAATTGTTTTGAGAGTGGGTCAAGCATTCAGCCAAAAGTCCGACGAGGACCGTGATAACAGTTCGTCTCATTAGCGCCATTACCCGTTACGGGCGCAACACTAGTTCAGTGAAACAGTTCCAAATGTTTACTAAATGATGACCACATGGATTTTGCGAAAAATGCACTTTAAGAGACCTACCCCCAATCACGCCCGGTGATCGTGAAAATGGGACGGAGGGGGGGGGGGAGCAGGCAATTTCCGCTAGAAAATTCAACAAATCTGGTAAAATTATTTTTTCAAGACAGAGTTTACGATTGAATTGCAAATTGAATAAGCGCACGGTATGATAAAATATGTTAGGTATTCTAGGATTATTTTTCAACCGATACTCTTTTAAGATATAAGATCTATTAAAAAAGGCGCAACGCAACCAACGTGCAAAAGTCAACGTTTTTGCTATAAATCAAGCAACAATACACGACCGGTAATAAATACTTGTAAGTGATGTTATCATAACTAAATTAATGCCATTGCTGAATTTATAAAATAAGTTTCCATACGTAAAATAAAAAATAATCAAAAACAATTAAAATGGGACGGAGGGGGGGGGGGGGGGGGGGGCGGAGGGGGGGGGAGTAATAATTCTATAAAGTGAAACAACTTCACACGAATTCTTGTATTTGAAAAATGAACTCATTAACTTAGTAAGAAAATGGATGATATACCCCTGGAGACTGAAAAATGGGGACAATTGGAGTAAAAGGACTTAAAGTCGCGAAACATCTCTAATCATGTCTTATATACATATTGCTCCCCCCCCCCTCCGTCCCCTCCCCCCTCCCTCCGTCCCAAATTCATTATTTTCGATTATTTTTTATTTCACATATGGAAACTTATTTTATAAATTCAGCAATGACATTAATTTAGTTATGATAACATCACTTACAAGTATTTATTACAGGTCGTCCAGACCATTGTTGCTTGATTTATAGCAAAAACGTTGATTTGTGCCTGTTGATGACCTTGCGCCTTTTTTTAATAGATCTCATAACTTAGATGCGTATCGTTTCAGAAAAAATCCCAGAAAACCTAACATATTCTACCATACCGTGCGCCTATCCATTTAGCAATTCAATAGTAAACTTTTTCTTGAAAAAATAAATCTTCCAGATTTGTTGAATTTCCTAGCAGAAATTGCCTGCTCCCCCCCCCCTCCGTCCCATATTCACGATCACCGGGCGTGCCAATAGCAAACCTGTTTCTGAAAAATATTCTGCCCGTAAATGGTTTCGAAAATTGCTCCGCCCATGTCTAGAAATGATGCTTCTAACCAAACTTGGAACTGTTTTCTGATAGATTTATTATTGTATTAACCCTATCAAGAATTAACCCCACTTCATATATTAAGCACTAGATGGCGATGTGGTAAGTCAGAAAATGGAGAACAAAGCTTTTTTAAATAAACCCAATTGCTTAATATCCTTATTCGAATCTGCATTTAATGTACGACAGGCGCTATCTAAACCGCATTTTTAAAAATATATTTCATTCAAATAACAAATTTTTGAAGATCGAGTCATTAATTCATTGTTGTTTTTATTCCTAAGATTGGGACGGACTGGCTGTGTACGAAGGTGAGAGCAGACCGCTGGTACCCAGTAGCAAATGCCAGTATTCAGCACCAGGCTCTGGTTGCGGAGTACTATGAACCAGGTTAGCATATACGTCAGTACTTACAAATGACCTATTCTTTGCATTCACTTATCAGAATGCATTGCGATTGGATAATCTAAGTGCACATGTGTCATGCCCATGGTCTGAATTTCCTTTTTTTAATATTACAGACTCTACCGAATTTATTGATATTGTGCCAAATGGAGACTCAATTATTAGTTTTGAAAACAAAGTTTTCAATCCTCTTGAAATCAGAGATGATGATCCTGACGCCCCAGATTTTGATAACACAACCAAGGAATACATGGCAAAGAATGAATATGTGACACTTTCTGACTTCAATAATAATCTCAATTCCAAGAATAACATCGATATGTCAATTTTACATTGCAATATTCGTAGTTTGCCATCTAATCATTGGAAACTGTCTAATCTACTTGCGTCAATTGATAAAAATATTTCTGTCATTGCTCTCTCTGAAACTTGGCTGTATAAAGATCAAGAAGACAACTTTTCTGATTTTGTAAATTACCGAGGATTTTTCAACTCAAGAACAACTAGAGGAGGCGGTGTTGGTCTCCTTATTCATAAATCTCTTAATATCAAGGAAAGAACTGATTTAAAATTTAACAATATCAATTGTGATGTCATAACCATAGAGGTAATTGTTGAAAAGGGGAAGAATATTTTAATAACCTGTGTATATAAGCCACCAAATGTTGATCTAGAGGAATTTAACAATGACTTAGATGTATACCTATCTTTAATTTCAAGAGAAAATAACAAATTAAGCTACATTGCTGGAGATTTTAACATTGATCTTTTTAAATCTGTTGAACATGAAAATACTGAAAACTTTTACAACATTATGTCTTCATATAACCTTATTCCTGTAATATATAAAGCAACTAGAGTAACTTCTACTACAGCCACTCTCATAGATAACATCTTTACTAATGATTCTAAAGTTGACTTATGCGGAATTATATACAATGACATATCAGATCATTTCCCAATATTTGCTGTTTCCAATAAACCTGTTAACAAAACCACATTCATGAAAAGGTCTATTAGAAAATATACTGATGAAAGCATTTTAAGATTTAAAGAAATTCTCTCTAACGAATCTTGGATCGACATTACAAATTTTAATGATGCTAATGAATCTTATAATAAATTTGAGGAAAAACTATCAGAATTTTATGACGAATGTTTCCCATTAAAACAGATCACAATTAAACTATACAATAATAATCAAAAGCCATGGATTACGTCAGCCATACTTAAGTCAATTAGATATAAAAGCAAACTATACAAGAAATATCTTCGAAATCCCACAGATCAAAATAAAAAACAATATAAAACTTATGCAAATCAACTAAAAAGTACAATTAAATTATCTGAAAAGCAATATTATAATAACAAATTTAAACTGAATCAAGGCAACATAAAGGCAAATTGGCAAATAATTAATGAGATACTTCAAAGAAAGAATAAAAATAATAACATTCCAGACTTCTTCATTCAAAATAATGTGAAAATAACCAACAAACAGGATATAGCTAATCAGTTTAATAATTTCTTTGTAAAAGTTGGAGAAAAATTAGCTGCCAAAATTCCAAAGTCAGATAAAAAACCTTTAGATTTTATGCAAACATTAGGTCAACAGGCTTCTTCAATTTTTTTAGACCCAGTTGATGTTAACGAACTACAAAAAATAATTTCTAATTTAAAACCTTCTGCTGCAGGTCATGATGATTTTAAACCTTTTATTATGAAAGAATGCGGTTTTGTTCTATATCAGCCTCTAATGCATATTTTTAATTTATCCATTTCAAACGGAGTTTTTCCGGACCAACTTAAAATTGCTAAAGTTGTACCGATTTATAAAAAAGATGACAAACATTTTTTCACCAATTATCGGCCAATATCTGTTTTACCTGTTTTTTCAAAAATTTTGGAAAAAATAATGCATAAAAGAATAACAAAGTTTATAGATATCATTGACATTTTGTATACTAATCAATTTGGATTTAGGGAAAAGAGATCAACTTTCATGGGTGTGTTAACATTTATTGAAAAGATCAGAAAATCTATCGATGATGGCGAATTTACAATAGGATTATTCATTGACTTTTCCAAAGCTTTCGATACAATAGATCATAACATACTATTTGACAAACTTCAATATTATGGTATACGTGGTGTTGCTCTTGACTGGATAAAAAGTTATTTTAAAAATAGATTTCAGCAAACTTTATATAAGGAAACAATCTCTAATCGTGAGTTGATCACTTGCGGTATTCCTCAAGGCTCAATTTTGGGACCTCTGTTTTTTATATTATATATTAATGATATTTATCTTTCTTCTCCGACACTATTTTTCGTCTTATTTGCAGATGATACTAATTTATTGATCAAAGGCAAAAATCTACATGACCTGACAGAAACTTTAAACACTGAACTCAAACATATTGAGGAATGGCTGGTCACAAACAAATTATCACTCAATGCTAATAAAACAAAATATATCATTTTTTCCTCAAGACAAAAAAGATTTAATGCAAATAATATAAAAATCTATCTAAATGACAAACAACTTGAACAAGTTGATCATATTAACTTTCTTGGAATAACAATAGATAACCATTTGAACTGGAAACGGCATATTGCTTCTGTTAATGCAAAAATTTCTAGGACAATTGGTATTTTATATAGAGTTAAACAACTGTTGAATATCAGCGGTTTTATGAGTATCTATTATTCACTTATATATTCCCATCTTATATATGGCAATGTTATTTGGGGTGAAACATGTAGTTCATTAAATTCCCTATATCTTGTGCAAAAGAAATTCACCCGCATTGCAACAAACAGCGATTATAGGGCTCATTCCCTACCATTATTCAAACAGTTAAACCTTTTGAATATTTTTGACATACACAAACAACAGAAATGTTTATTCATGTATAAATGGATAAATAAGCTTGATAACTACCAGAAAATTTTTCCTAACTTTTTCAAAATGGTCCAGGCGAGACATGATCACAATACCAGAAACAAGGATTCTTATGATAAACCTAAAGTAAGGACGAACTATGGCATTTCAATGTTAACTTTCACGGCACCAACAATTTGGAATCAATTACCAAACAAGATTAAATCTTCTCGAAGTGTTCCCATCATGAAAAGAGAACTGAAAAAGTACTTTGTCAATAATTGATTATCATTCGTATACTTTATATTTTGGGCTCTATGACACACAATTCATTTACCATCCATTACATGCATTTGCACACAAACAGATCCCCCTCTGTTTCTATGTAGGCAACTTACCACCCTGTCGGGAATATACACAATTTGTGTCACCCGCTCATTGTATGTATTTCAAAACTTAGCTTACTGAATAAATAAATAATAATAATAAATAATAATAATACAATCAATTATACATACAGATAAACACTTCTGCGTTGAGGAATGCCTTGTTGTATTTTGAAATGCATAAAATACAGACCAGATTGTGTCAAATAATGCTGCAAGAATATAGCAAGACAATTCTCATCAATTTGACTAAGCAATAACTGTAAGCAAAATGATACTTTATTTAGAACAGCTGTACATAGAGGTTGTTCCAAAATTAAAATACAAAAACTACTGGGTGACGCAAAAAATGACACCCATCTTACCTTGCATAACTTTTGGTCCATTACCATATAGACCTGTCCTTTGGCACAGTAGACATAATGCGAGAGCTCAAGTGGGTCAAATTTTATGAGCATTACAATATATTCTCACTTTGGAGACCTTCTCATTTGCCACTGATCTGAGATTGAGTGGACACCCAATTCCCCTGATATGACCCCACCAGATATTTACATCATGGGGTACTTAAAAGACCATGTGTATATGAGATAAACATTCCCAAACCACAGCTGACTTAAAGAGAGAAATTACAAGGAAGATCAGGACCATAACTCAATGTATAAGGGTAAGCAACAACTTGCCCGTAGAATTCAAGTTTGCCTGCAAAGGAGTGGACGTCATATGGAACATATATTGTAACGCTCATAAAATTCGACCCACTTCGCATTATGTCTAAGGACAGGTTATGCAACGTAAGGTGGGTGTCATTTTTTGTGTCACTCTGTAAAACACTTTGAAATCTTATGCTTTCAGAGTTGCAGAACTGGACTCTCTACACAACTTACAATTTATTTTCTCAACATATATGTCTAGTATGCGGCTCATTCCAATGTCCATATTGTCCATATTACAACTCTGGTGACGTCATCCAAAAACCTATTACAAAATTTATTTTAATTCTCGTATCACCTTGGACAATTTATATATTCTCTCAAATCATTACCTCGAAGATAGAACAATTTTTGAACACTTGAAGGTGATGAAAGGAGTACTGTACATAATATTTTTTTATTTTAGTTAAACTATTGTGATTAATTATACACAATATGTTTTTTTATTCAATTTTTTTATTTTTTTATTACATTGTGTTTTGTTCATGCAACCGCATTGTTAGTAACAGTTCATTTGTATATATCGCTTTATCAAACACCATATTCATCAATTCGAGTGAAATTGAGTACCGCAACTCCCTTGCTTATGTTCAGCGACAATTACACATTCTCTAAGGCATTTCGGCCTAACAGTGGTGACTTAAACATAAACGGGGATGCAACGGGAAGTAATTGGTTTCACCGAAAATAGTTATGGATCATGCACGTTATTATTACATAAATTCTTTTTTTGATGCTTGCTGTATCATCGCCGTGTCATTCTAGATGACAATCGTATATCCAGGCTATAAACAATCAATAGTTTTCATATTTCGGTAAATGTTGGTTAACCTTGATTATAACATTCCGCATTTATTTGACTTGAGCATGTACATATTTTCTAAATAAACAATATGCATATACGTTATAAACGTTTTTGTTTGCTTTGTGTACCGAGTGTCGATTGCATTTTGCAACTGATAATTAGATACAAATGTATAACTGGCGCTTGTAACAGTTACAGCTGGGCAAAGTAAAGTTTAGTCTTCTATAGTTTTACTTGTTAAAATACAAAGTAAAACAAAAGTCTTCATAGAAAATTAGAATTTCTTAAAGTTAAACAAATTCCAGGGTATCCATGGACACAACATGTTATCAAATTTACGTCATAACTCAATAGTGTAACACACGTCATAAGTGACATACACAAATTTCATGTGACGTTATAAAACACGTGATTGGAAACACAAACCATAATAAACAGAAGTTCTGAAAAGCGAAATCAAAGGAGGGGATGAAATTCGACGAATTCGAGAACTTGGGATGATCAAAGGCATTAACATGCAAAATGTCACCACTCGCCATGCTACAGACGCCGACCGCCGAATACCGTCCACAGAAAAGAAGTTGGAAACTTGTCATCATAACGAATGGGATCAAATAATGGCAACCGCTCTATATCCACTGAGCTTGTACTGTCGATCATCGTGAAAAACATTACATATTACACGCAGCCTAACTGTTCGATATCTTACAAGTCTTAGCTTTGTCTAGTATTCGCATGGACGAATGAGCACCTAGTTGAAATATTTGGATAGCACCTTTCGGAAGAATGGCTTGGTATGATGACAAAAATTGATGATAATTATGTAACGTGCTGATTACAATGCGGTAAACACGATGTTCGTACGCTTATCCCTATCCGTATGTTTGCAACTGACCTCCCTTACAAACAAACGGATAGGGATAGGTATACGTACATTTTAACGCTAATCTTAACCTCCCTAATATATGTCATATTCCGAACACCTATGATGGGACAGCGTGTGATCTGGAACACAGGTAGGCAAATTCTCAGATTAAGGCTCTTCATCTGTAAAATATTAGGTTATAATAAACTCACAAGATGCAAAATAATGATATAGGGCTGCCAAAAAAGTTGGAGATGAATGGATAGGTGGGTATGAACGTAAAACCTAAAACTTGCTTTTGTCAATTTTGAGGATAGGTTGATTATTACGAATTTTGGAGAATCGGTTGACAACTTTAGACAGGTTATAATATTGGAATACATCAGCGCACTGTAGCCGTAGGTGAATAAGTTAGACCTAATTGGAAAGGCAGTGACAAACCATATAAAACAGCAATGCAGCTACTTATAAGTATTTTGCTATTTTACAATATCACTGGTGATCCACTCGATTACGCTGATTTCTGTAACAAAATGTCGGAGCGTCGAAGGTACGGATATTTTCTTTTTCATAATTTCACGCATTGTAAGCAGAATTCGCACGACATTTTTATCACAAACGTGTATCAGTATCATATGTTTTCGAAAATATACATGTTTGCGAAACAATATATAGCTCAGAAGACAACAGAATCGTCGATTTAATTCATTACTTAAGGTATAGAAACGGTTTGGGTTAAAAGTGCAGATCTTAACTGTTTTTCGAAATACCGTTTCTGTAACTTAAGTGAGGAATTAATTCGACGATTCTGTTGTCTTCTGAACTTTTTGTTCGCAAATATGGACATTTTCTTAAACATATGATACTGTACGTTTGTGATAAAAATGTCGTGGGAATTCTGCCTACAACGTGTGAAATAAGGAAAAAAGTAAAATCGTACCTTCGACGTACCGACATTTTGTTACCTAAACGAACCAGCGTAATTGAGGGGATCACCAGTGAACATAAGCAAAACAAACATTGCAGTATCCTCAGTAACCGACTATGAGCATCTAACGATGTGACGTCATGGCCAATGTATCATGTGTGTAAGAACGTCATAAGAGAGTTATGTGTTTACGTATCGATCGCGTGCTTGGAAACACACGTTTCCATAATAAGCACTGCACTTGTTCAAGAAGAAAATCAAAACAAAAAGGATAAAAGGGTAAGAGCTTTACAAAAAGCTAAAACCAAACTGAAAAAAGGGAAATTAAAAATGGTTATCTGATCTCCGCCCTGTTGATCAGACTGGTGTGATCATACAAAGGTAAGATATCTCTATACTTTAACTAAAGTTTGGCCTCGTCATGGCGAGCAACGAATGTACATTTTGTGGGCTAAATACATGCATTTTGTAACTAAAATATAGGCTAGGAGTTATCAGGTTCGACGACAACTATTTTTAATTTGTGCGCAAATTATAGCCTTACATGGATGAGTGGTCATGGAACTTGATGTGCTAATGCAAAAAGTCCAGAAATTTTGTTTCTACAATACTAATTCTCAGATTTTGACACATTTCCCAACATATATGGGTGTCAAGATTCAACTAGCCGAAGATTGGTGAAATAATATCTTCATCATTTTTGTTTTGACGAAATTCCCTTCATATGATGGGTCTATTCAGGTAAGTTGTGAATCTAAGAAAAGAAGACAGTAAAAAACAAAAAACGTGACAAATTCACGTGTTATTGGTACTCTAGTTTTGAATCCGACGTGAATAAGAGTGCCAGGTTCCATCGTAAATGGATTTCCTCAAGTTAGTTATAATGGAAAGTAGAAATAAGTAAAAACAACTGGCAAAATAGGCCACGTTATGCCTCAGTCACATTTGATCCATGGCAAACGTTAGTAATACGATGTAGATTTTCTATTTTGATTTTGTGAAGCTACGGCCGCCGTACGTCGCCAAAAGGCAACATGTAACTGGAACTATAATTTTGCATGAGACGTGTACAAAAAGACTACAGCTTTGCCGGGTTCATTTATTCAGATGATTGAGTCTTATGTAAAAAGAATTAAGTAGGAAAGTGGCAAAACAGGCCACGTAACTAGTTCTCTTATTAGAGATTTTAAGCTTGTAATGTTTTTCACAATCTATACGGGAACGGAAATATTTAAACGATGCACTTGTATGGGCGATTGGCCATACGTATAGGTTGGCGTTTCGATTTTATATGCAAGCTTAAACTCCCGGATATGTATCAGACGTAATTAAGAAGCCTACGCCAGGTTCTTACTGACGGATCTATCTAAATTAGTTTAGACTCATGAAAAGAAGAAAGATGTAAGAAACTGGCAAAACAGGCCACGTAACTGGTACTCGTATTATGTATCAGACGTGAATAAGAATCCTTCGCCAGGTTATTACTTAGACAGATCTATCTAAATTAGTTAAGACTCATGAAAAGAAGGATGTAAGAAACTGGCAAAACAGGCCACGTAACTGGTACTCTTATTATGTATCAGACGTGAATAAGAGGCCTACGCCAGGTTCTTACTTAAACGGATCTATATAAGTTATTTTAGTCTAATGAAAAGAGGAAGTCTAAGAAACTGGCAAAACAGGCCACGTAACTGGTGCTCGTATTATGTATCAGACGTGAATAAGAAGCCTACGCCAGGTTCTTACTTGTAAACAGATCTATTAATAAGTAATTTTAGTCCAGTGAAAAGAGGAAGAAATAATAAACTGGCAAAACAGGCCACGTAACTGGTACTCGTATTACATATCAGACGTGAATAAGAAGCCTACGCCAGGTTCTTATTTAAACGGATCTATCTAAGTTAGTTAAGTTTAATGGAAAAGAGGAAGGATAAGAAACTGGCAAAACAGGCCACGTAACTGGTACTCTTATTATGTATCAGACGTGAATAAGAAGCCTACGCCAGGTTCTTATTTAAACGGATCTATCTAAGTTAGTTAATTTTAATGGAAAAGAGGAAGGATAAGAAACTGGCAAAACAGGCCACGTAACTGGTTCTCTAATTGTATATCAGACGTGAATAAGAAGCCTACGCCAGGTTCTTACTTAAACGGATCTATATAAGTTATTTTAGTCTAATGAAAAGAGGAAGTCTAAGAAACTGGCAAAACAGGCCACGTAACTGGTACTCGTATTATGTATCAGACGTGAATAAGAAGCCTACGCCAGGTTCTTACTTATAAACAGATCTATTAATAAGTAATTTTAGTCTAATGAAAAGAGGAAGAAATAATAAACTGGCAAAACAGGCCACGTAACTGGTACTCGTATTACATATCAGACGTGAATAAGAAGCCTACGCCAGGTTCTTATTTAAACGGATCTATCTAAGTTAGTTAAGTTTAATGGAAAAGAGGAAGGATAAGAAACTGGCAAAACAGGCCACGTAACTGGTACTCTTATTATGTATCAGACGTGAATAAGAAGCCTACGCCAGGTTCTTATTTAAACGGATCTATCTAAGTTAGTTAATTTTAATTGAAAAGAGGAAGGATAAGAAACTGGCAAAACAGGCCACGTAACTGGTTCTCTAATTGTATATCAGACGTGAATAAGAAGCCTACGCCAGGTTCTTATTTAAACAGATCTATGTAAGTTAGTTTAGTCTAATGAAAAGAGGAAGGATAAAAAACTGGCAAAACAGGCCACGTAACTGGTACTCTTATTATGTATCAGACGTGAATAAGAAGCCTACGCCAGGTTCTTATTTAAACAGATCTATCTAAGTTAGTTTAGTTTAATGAAAAGAGGAAGGATAAGAAACTGGCAAAACAGGCCACGTAACTGGTACTCTTATTATGTATCAGACGTGAATAAGAAGCCTACGCCAGGTTCTTACTTAAACGGATCTATGTAAGTTAGTTTAGTCTAATGAAAAGAGGAAGGATAAGAAACTGGCAAAACAGGCCGCGTAACTGGTACCCTTATTATGTATCAGACGTGAATAAGAAGCCTACGCCAGGTTCTTACATTTAAACAGATCTATCTAAGTTAGTTTAGTCTAATGAAAAGAGGAAGAATTAAGAAACTGGCAAAACAGGCCACGTAACTGGTACTCTTATTATGTATCAGACGTGAATAAGAAGCTTACGCCAGGTTCTTATTTAAACTGATCTATCTAAGTTAGTTTAGTCTAATGAAAAGAGGAAGGATAAGAAACTGGCAAAACAGGCCACGTAACTGGTACTCTTATTATGTATCAGACGTGAATAAGAAGCCTACGCCAGGTTCTTATTTAAACGGATCTATTTAAGTTAGTTAAGTTTAATGGAAAAGAGGAAGGATAAGAAACTGGCAAAACAGGCCACGTAACTGGTTCTCTAATTGCAGGCCCGTAGCCAGGGGGGGGGTTCGCAGGGTTCGGACGAACCCCCCCTGGCCAAAAATTCTTTCAAAATCATGCAGTTTTTCACCATTTTGAGCACTTCTCAAGTGATTTTAGCCATATTTGGGCCAAAATTGTCAAATGTGAACCCCCCTGGAAATTTTTGAAAAATGAACCCCCCCTTGGCAAATCCTGGCTACGGGCCTGAATTGTATATCAGACGTGAATAAGAAGCCTACGCCAGGTTCTTACTTAAACAGATCTATCTAAGTTAGTTTAGTCTAATGAAAAGAGGAAGGATAAGAAACTGGCAAAACAGAATTTGGATCAAGTTTTGGCTTTTGGTCGATTCATATGTAAATGCACATTGCAACTTAAGTCGCTTCGCTCAAACGAATATTTTGAGATCAATGTTTTCTTTCTTGCTCAAATTACTGTCCGTGTTTATACATTTTATAAACAAACTTTTTGATCAACGTCGGGAGCTATTTGAAAAGGAAAAAACTAGCTTGTATGATAGTCATATTGAAATGTTTCTTAGGCAATTTGTATTTAAACATTTTATAACTGATGTTGTGAGGAAGCCAAATGTTTTGTTGGATCTCAGAGCCTTGCTGTGCAAGCAATGAATACAAAAATTTCGTTCGTTTGTAACTATTTACCGAAAAAAAAGTGTTAACAGAAACAAGATTATGGTACAAAATGAACCCCTTTGTTTTGAGACTAATATTTAATGTGTCAAATGTATTTCAGCATAATAAGCTATTGAAGTTAAAACAACAAAAGAGTACATTCAGGGAATACAAATGTCTAATTTTAAAATTCACTTGTCAATATACCCATTAATATAACAAAATATGAACAATGAAGCAGAAAAAATCCATAGATGGCATCACTATTACTAAAAATTGTTTACATTTCAACTCTCAAAAATGGTTGTGAATTAGTTTTGAACCTTGACATTAATAATACTTGTATATACTGTATATTTAGTGATAGTAAGATCATTGAATTAGGTTTAACATACATGTAGTAATAGGTAATTAGCGACAGTTTGCAATTGTTGTTCAAGCAATTATATTTAGACAAACAATTAGACTTATTATCTTAATTACATAGCCAATCATATTTTATCCATTTAAAGTTTGTATCTTGAGAGTTTGGAATTAAAACGACCGAGTTGGAAAACCATATTAGTGATCACTTTTCAAAACTTGAGTCAGAGTACTTTTACATCACATTCCGCCGAGGCGAGACACGTGACAATTTGGAACGACCGCTTCACCTATCGATAAGCTGTGGCGGTAAATAAGACCGTATTAACACAAGGTCAGTGAAGAAGAACCTTGCATTTGGCTTATGATATAAAGTTGCAAGTGCTTAGCGTGAATCCAATCCATATATATTCACACATGGAAAAGTGATACGACAGCAAACGATAATAGTGAGTAGAATATATTCAATCTACAAATGTTACATGTAACGTTAAAAGTTTTCGAAATATTGGAAATGATTTTAAAGTTTTTTAATGCGCTCGATAACAATAGTTTGATAGTTATAACATATTGTGTAATTTTACCTTTCTTGCATTTGCTTTCAAAATTACATTTTAATTAGGGGCAAGCTGAACCCTTCTAACATAGACCATTGACACTCAGATCCGACTTTTGGCCCGGTGCATTAGTTTGATTATTTCCTTGCACAGGGAAAAATCTATCAAAATGTAAAATATTTGAAGCATTTTAGAAACCAAATGCCATTTTATAGATAAATAACTAGTTTTGATGTATAAAGTTATAGTATAGAAGTGTGTCTCGTGTATAAAGTTTTGGTTAAAGCCAATATTTCAAAAATCGCAACAAAAGACTTTTCCAAACAGATTAAACTGACATGTTTGTGTGCTTGCTTATTTATTCGTTTGTTTGTTTGTTTGTTTGTGTTAACAAGCTTAAACTTCTCCACAATCATCCAAACCGTTAGCAAAATGTTACAACACATATTATGTAATGAACGGATTTTTTTAAATCTCGATTTGACTCGTGTTGTCTAATCAAAATACATGTAGCCAACACGTGTACGTATTACCAAACTAAGCTTTCGAGCGAAGTCAATGTTCTCTCGGTGTTTCAGAATTGCACATAATAGGATAACGTTTAACAATTCACTATTGTATCAAGTGTTTTTAAGGGGTTAGGAAACATGTCTGCGAAATAGAATGTAACTACTAGTATGTTATTTCAGCAATATTATGAGCTATTTAATTATTTCGGACACTACAGGGTAGGCCAATAAAAATTGGAACATTTTTCTATTTATTCAAGTGCCTTTAATATTGCATCTTAATCAACAAAAATTCAGATAATGGTAAAATGATTATTTGTAAAAATGTTAAAGACAAATATTCAAATCATTTTTGGCTTGTCATGGTCAAGATCTGTATGCTAAAAGCTTCCAATTTTTTCTGCTTGAGACATCACTGCTGAAAATACAGTATCTTTCATACCATACAATGTGTTCCCTTCAAATGGTCTCAACACAATTTCAATCAATTAAAACATATGTCGTTATCTAGGAGAAGCAAGCCATGTCTTCCTTGAATAACTTATCTTACCTAACCTCATATTTTTTCAAAACTAGCCCAATATGTCTCAAAACCTATCATTTAAGCCATGTATGACTGATAAATACAGCTCAGAGTAATTAATTGTTCAGGTGGGTGGAGGACATGTTCAGGAAACCCTTGCATTGAGTAAGTAAATGTTGAGCTTGTATATTTATAATTCACATCAGCTGTTAACAATGCATTGTTCTTACCAAAGTATTGAAGATAACACATGACTAACAGAAAAGTGACAATGGATGGAAAAATGTTCCAATATTTTTGGCCCGACCTGTAAATGTTCAGAATAGAATTTATCAAAATTAGACATGAATGAATTTCAATACTGGTCCGAATTAACTGACTTAGTTAGCATTGACATTGTCCTTCGTGACTTTGGTTGAAGATAATGTGGGTCCTATTGTGTTTCAATTTTAGATTGTTACGGTGTATTACCATACACATGTTGGTTTTGTATGAAGTTTATTTTGGGCATTTTATAGACAAATGTTATCTATTTCTTGTTTGGATAACCATGGGTCAATTCAAATCGTGTTTTATTTATTTTCTTATGTCCAAGTCACTGCACTTTATACACGGGTCATGGGAGATGTGCTTCAGACAGGCATTTAGTAGCCAACATTTACTGGTATATATTATATTAGTCAGCAATGACAATTTGAAATGATTTAACTACTGCTGATTTCATTGTAGGGTCGAATCACAATGTTCGGGAGTGTGGTATCCACAATTACATTGTTTTGTGTCATATTGTACAATCCCGAAGGTGTCCAGGGACAAGAAGTTGAAATCACATACAAAGAGCCACTAAGAAACCAAGCGTGAGTTGAACTGAGTTCCCTATACCCCATTATTATGTAATACTGTGTACACGCCGTGATATAACTTGAATATATTTTGCAATATTTTATCAACGTTTAATGTTCCGTAGTTGTTTGTAGCATTTTATTCAGAACTGTTGAAAATGTTTCGTTATTGAGAACTAACCAGCCAATCAATGAAATGCAAACTAACTCGAGTACTGACCTATTTGTATGTAAATTATATAATCATGCACTAACCTACTAACACATGAATAAGGATGAAAAAGATGGACGAATGATTGACATTGCATAAGAAATACTATTTTAATACATTTTACTACTGCATTTAAATCGGGCCCCAATTATCACCCACTTTCGTTATGATTCAGATAATGATAAAATGTGATCGAGTCATAATAAGTAAATAATGATAATTGACGTTTAATTTGTGATAATTGATGAAAATTATAATTGATATTGTAGAACCTACATAATTGTTGCTCCGAGACGCTTTAGACCAAATCAGGTGTTTAAAATATATGCCACACTCCTTAAGAGAGAATACGAGAACGTCCATATAACTGCCGCCATCAAAAATGTGGACCAACGTACTGAAATAGCCAGCGTAACTGTTAGGTTTGAGCGAATCGGTGGCAGAAACATCGAGATTAAGGTAAAAACTAGGTCATCGGTGAATGTAATCGAGAAAAGTCATGATATTTGATATGAGATTTTGTCTTAAACCTTTGAAAGTGCAAATTCCCTTGTATTCATATGCCAATCCATACGATATTTGGAGACTAACTAGAATAGAAATATGTCATCTGTTCATTTTATACGAAAAAATGTGTAAAACAACAATTTCCACTGCACAATATGAAAAAGCCTGTTACAAATTTATAAATCTCAAACATTATCAAACATTTACAGGCTATACAATCGGAAAACGGTTGCCAAACCTTTGGTTTAGTAGTATACAGTGTACTATTTTTAGGTTCCAGAATATGTGGTTCCCGGCAACTATTCTCTTTATGTAGAAGGAAAGAACATAGAGGGCGTTGGAGGCGCGCTATTCCACAATGAAACGTCAATCCTTTTTGATACAAAACAGATGTCTGTGTTCATAGAAACGGATAAAGCTGTCTACAAGCAGATAAATAGAGGTACAATGATGATATAACCTTGGAAAATGATATAATGATACGGGAGATTCAATGCTATTCAACGTCAATTAATATTCCTACGGAAAGTTTAATACCAAGAGAAACTGATATAAGAAGAAATGACAATTAATTTTATGGTGCTATTGGTTTGTCACAATTGGGCAGTCTGCATTTGAGCCAGATTTATTGTTATTGTTTAGCGCCTAAAGCCTTATTCGGCGGTCATAAGGCAGCCGTAGCTCCGCAAAATAAATATAGAAAATTAAGATCGTACTGCTTATTCCTTTATTTTATGCTGCACTATATAGAGTAGCGAGCATAATAAAAATTCGACATACAGGGTGTCAAATAAGTCCTATCCCCCCTCTACAGCCAAAACCAAGATATTTGGTACCAAGTGTGATATATCATTGGAAAGGTCTTCCAAAGTTACGTTGATTAGCATATATCAGACACATGTCAATCAATCTCACACATTTTACATTGTATCAATTGAGGTGACCATAGGCCTAGAAACATGGCAATTTGGCGTATTTGGCAGGATTTTAAGAATCGGGTATAAGAAAGGTCAAAGGACCAAAATATGACTTAATATGTACATGGCAATGAATTTAACCAATTTCTGGATAGGGTTAGATGTGTAGAAAAAAGAGGTGCAAGGAAAGTGGTGAAAACCTTTTTTAACAAGTGGAAAGCGAAAAAAACCTTTTTGACATATTTCTGAGGCCATATCCTTGTCATTTTGACGCAAAAAAACTGCTCAAAGGAGGGTACGTTAACTATAAAGGACATCAGAAAAATATAGGTAAATTTCATCCGAAATACTTGAGAGTTGGTGAGTTAACATAACTTTTGATGATCTTTCCAATGGTATATCACACTAGGTACCGTCTATTAAGGTTTCGCTGTAGCGGGGGGAGGGCGGGACTTATTTGACACCCTGTATATATTTGAACAACCAGTACATTCAGTGAAACCCTAGAATTCCCTAATAAGGTTGTTATTCTACTTCTCTTACATTAAGTATTCTTTATATTTTTGTTAGTAAGATTCCGGGTGATCCCTGTTCTTCCCAACCTGATGCCCATACAAGGTACAATGGATATATTTGTAAGAGACCAGAACGGATTTGTAGTTAGGAGGTGGCTTGCCCAAGCGGTTAATAATGGTAAACCATGATCTTAAATATGAAAAACAGTTGCATTGCATCGTATCTGATGAGGTCGATGCACTTGATAATGAAATTAAACTTTAATCAAATTTTATTATCTATAATACGTCGGAAAGAATCTGATAGACGAGTCCAACATGTACTGTACGTCATAGCTCTCAAATTTGACTTTCTAACTAAAAATATGTCTAAATAAAAGTATGTTTCCCGGAGCTTCATTTTGTTTTAATTCATTGAAGTTTATGATCATGAGTATCTATTCACTTCGTAGGTATCGTAGAAAAGACCTTTGTGATTGGTCGATTTAACAAAAGATCTCCATGGAGTATCAACGTAGAGGCATTTGTGAGTATACAATTTTGGTTACATTATTGGAAAATATATCGTTAATTTTATGTGATAATAGGATAATTGGGGGAGGTAAGCATAAAAGTAGATAAGAACTTAAATGCTTTTTATTTTTAGGGACATACATACTCTAAAGACATAAATGGAGTATTTTTACGTAAGTAAACCGAATCGATTAAATTATGTTATTATTTTAAAATTCATCTCTGACGTTATTTTAATCCTCTGAAAAATGCAGCTTCATAGTATTCTTATCAAAACAACTTATACGTTTATAGTAATCGTATATTTATTTATATTTTATGATATTTATTCATTGCAGTTGGAGACAGAATGTTGGTTAATGTAACTATGCCTAAGTTTATAAAACTAACTGATTTCGGTTTAGGTGGTTACGTGAAGGCTTAGTAAGTATAAGTACATAACAATATATTTATCTATAATATTACCAAAGAGCTGTTAATCAAAATTGATGTTAAATCATTTTATGCCACTTAAAGACTGTTAGAATCAGATTGTAACTATTATGTTTTGCCGTGAATGTACATGAATGTTTCCTTTGTTAATTATTTACTTTATAGGACTTATATCTCGATGTACCTTAAATGTGTTCAAGAGACCACTAAACTTATTAAAAATAGATTAATCGATAATACATATTTTAATCCTGAAAGGATACTACACAAGTGCACGTTGATCAAATTGATATTAATTTATATTCTTATAGTTGAATCGTGTGGAAACGTATTGTAATGCCAATTTATTTATTTGTCAGCTATTACACAAGTTGGATACCTGTGCAAGGCAATGGTACAATTGATATCGAGGTGGAAGGATATCCAAGTTCAAAGTTTAGCATTCCAATTAATTTTGTAAGTAATTTGCCAGTTGTTTAAAGTTCCCATATAAAGTTTAAATCACTTTGGTAGAACCACCAATGATACTGTCAAACACATGATAGTAGAATGTCAATTTTTAATTGCATTAAGAAATGAAATGTATGAAAATATTATAAATAGCATCTCTGTGCATCAGTCATGTGAACTCCTAAACAGTGAAGATGACATAATCCTAGAATTTCTCCTTGGAGGACGCTCCGATATTTTGCATACAATTGATGATGCCACATCAATAAAATTGCTTAACATATGTGCAACATACATCAATATGATGATGTACAGATTTACCAACACTTGTTTAGAATAATACTGCACAGGTAGTACAGATCATCTACCTATATTTTTAAAAGAAAGTCACACATCTGTACATACTATGATACTATAAATAGTTTTCTTATTATAATTTCATTTTGATATAATGTAAATTGCTGCTTATTAATGTTGTAAATCTTCATAATGAAGGAAATAAATCAATACAATACATATCTTTTAATAAGCCACAATTCCTACTAATACATAGCATTTATCCTCGCATTTTTTGTCGCCGAAAAAATTAAGACTTCAGTTCATGATTAAGCTAGAAATGAACTCATCAGTGCATAAAAATGGTTCCGAGGAAAATGCATTTCAAAATTTTAGTTCTCATAGAAACCAATGGTACAATGATATCTAATACATAATATATTCTTCCTTTTAACCTTGTTAGACAATCAACATTGGTTTATTATTGAAGTCTAGCATATTTAGAAAAGATTGACATCGAAAAAAAATTTCATTTTGCTTCCTGAGTGAGTCATAATGACATCACTAGTGTTGCAAAATATTTTTGATATGCTAAAACATTGAAGTGGCCCATTAAATATGGCATTTTATTATTGAAATAGTGTGTCCTTTGTTCCATCTTTGTATTGGTGTTAAATAGATTATATATATTATAATCTTTTTTTAAAATGCACTAAGAAATATTTGATGATTAAAAAATTTCAGTTATTATTATTAAAATTATTTTTTTCAAAAATCTCTAGAATAACTTTTTAAGTCATAACAAATAGTAAATGAATGATTAAAAATATTTTCAAACTTTTGACGGGGACTTTAAGGGTCGAATAAGGAACGATGAAAATATAAGTTATCATTTAAACATAGCCTACTATGCAGCCACGTTTTGTTTCAAAATGATTTAACGTGCTATATAACGTTATTGAAAATCAGAAATGGTTACATAAATATTCTTTTTCTAGTTTGAAGATGAACATCACTTTATGTTAACTATAAACGAGCTTAGAAGAGCGACTGGGGTTGTAGATCTTTCTAACAAAGCGATCAAGGTGAAAGCGTGGGTGTACGACCGGAAGTTACACGAGATGCGATGGGGAGAGGCCACTACAGTTGTCTATGATGGAGGTCTTGAGCTAGCGTTCGTTGAAGATAAAGTTCGAACATTTAAGCCAAATATGCCATTTAAACTTCACGTGAGTAAAATTAGTTACACTAAATTGTAACAGAATTTCCATTTGTATTCGAAGCGAAAATATTGAATGTTTGAACATACTAGGATCGTTTTTGGTTTTAACATATTTGAACTCACTTTCATGGAATATGTATCAAGTGCCGATTGCCATTCCCATAATATTGAACATGTTCGCCGACTTTAGCAGACTTTACCTATTTAGGTAGCTTTAAAGAGAAGGGATGGTATGCGCTCCACAACTGCTATTGAGGGAAGTATTGAACTTGACGTGTCCTACGAAATTGAAGGCGGGGGTCTCAGGAGACAGGTTGAGCGTCTTCCTATAGCAGATGATAACATTGTTGCCTATACACTGTATCCCGGGAGCGATGATAAGATGCTCACAATTAAGGTATATATCACTTTATGTGGCATTTACATTACAGAAATGTTCGATCAATGTAGTAGCTTTTCAATTTGTAATGCATGGAACTTTTTTGTCCCACTCAGCTAGCGAATACTTAGAACTAACTAAATCAACTAAACAACGTTTCCTGAATTGAATGACTCAGTGTTGGAAAGAGAAAAAAGAAGGGCCTTTATATTCGATTGATTATACAGGGTGACCCAAAAAAATGCAACCCTCCATTTCTTCAATATTTTTCTTAAGTGGAGATTAATTGCTCTGAACACAAGGACTTCATTCAATGTGGGATCCTCTGACAAAGTTTCAATAATCATAGTCTTATATTGATAGAGTTATGGTCGTTCCAAAATATGCTCCAAATGTCGTCCATTTCCAATGTTAGGTTTTCGAATGAATCACATTCCCTTCTTTCTGAACATGTAAACTCAAGAAATAATGTGTTCTAGGATCACAAATTCCAGATGAAGTGCTTCAAAGGCCCCTTCATTCTGTTAAATGCACAGTTTGGGCTGCCAATTTCCAAACATGAAATCATTAGCCCCTTTTGGTTTGAGGTTGATAATGGCAACACTGTTACTGTTAACACACAGCGCGATATTGGCGTTCCAAGGAAGTTCTAGGCAGTTCTAGAGTGACATAGAGGCTTCCTTCAATAGACAAGAACAGTGGTTCTAGAAGGATGGAGCTACTCCTCACACTTCTAATGATAGCATAGCCTGGCTCACTAGTCATTTCTATGAGAAGATTATCTCTCCTAGGACGGAAAACCCATGGTCATCCCACAGTCTTGATCTCAATGCCCCTGACTTCTATATATGGGGTTATTTAAAGGATAGTGGATGAAAATAACTCTAACGCAATTGCAGGACTCCAATAAGCAATGGCTGCAAAAATTTGAGCCACACCCATGGGGAAGAATGCATCCGTTTTATGAACAGTTTTCCTTGAACATTGCAAGTTTGTTTTCAGCGAAATTGACGACATCTGGAGCATATTTTGAAACAACCATAACTCTATCAATATATAAGACTATGATTATTAAAACTTTGCCAGAGGATCCCACATTGAATGAAGTCCGTGTGTGCCAAATCTCAGAGCAATTTACCTCCATTTAAGAAAAATATTGAAGAAATGGAGGGTTGCATTTTTTTGGGTCACCCTGTATAATGCATTACATATTGCTACATATAATCTGCTTTAGGCTAGGTATCGTGGTGCAGGGGGCAATCTTCCTATACTCAGGATGACAGCATACCGAGTGTATTCCTTACATAACTACTATATCAATGTCCAGACGTCGACTCTGCATCCTAAGGTATGAACTATTATCGTATGATCTGAAAGATGAAGCCCTCTGATTGGTCAGTTCTTGTGCTGTACCAATCTGTATTGCTACTGAGATTGTCCCCATTGTTCATCTCCGTAGCAATACAGAAAATAATGGTACGGAGGGGACAATCTCAGAAGCAATACATAGAATACAGAATATTTTTTAAGGGATTATCTCCTAAGTAAAATGTATTCGCGCATTGTCTCGATATTCTGTATTGGCGATCGACTTCGTTCCAATACAGAATTTCTCGAGCAGAATATTTCCTGTATTGCACTTCAACTCATTCAGTAACTTATAATAAGATTTAATGTAATATAATATAAACTGATACCATACTTATATATTCTACTTAAAGGTGAATCGATATATGGTATTTACGATAAAAACAAATGCATATGTGGACACCATATACTATCACGTAAGTAGCAAAGTTACATGTTTTCATCTTAAACATCCTGTCGTTATTCTCTGCATCGCTCCCATGACATGTGTCATTTGAGCCTTATTAAAGAGGGGTGTTGGAATACCACATGGTTCAGAGATATCAAATTATCAATAGAAATGTTATGAAGATACCCATCCTCCCTGAATACAAAATAGCGGATTCATTTTTTTAAAAACGTTTCGATTAATATGATGTTAATTTCTGGCATGATATCATACAATGTTACCTTTTCAAACATTAATCAAGATGAACTTCTTCAAGAGATGTCAAATTTAAAAGATTCCTCGGCCTCAATTGATGAGATAAAACCTATTGTAATCAAGAGAAGTAAAGATGAAGTTATTAATCCATTATTATTTATTTACAACAAATCTTTAACTGATGGCTGTTTTCCTGACCTTCTTAAGCTTGCAAAAGTTATACCTTTATTTAAGAAAGGTAATAGAAATGTCTTTACGAATTATAGACCTGTATCTATTTTGTCAGTTTTTTCTAAACTTCTTGAAAAACTAGTTCATTAACGTCTTTATCAATTTATCGAAAATAATCAAATCGTTTACTTACAACAATTTGGATTTAGAAAAGACTTCTCTACATATATGGCAATCTTAACTTTTGTTGAAAATATTAGAACAGCCTTAGAAAATGACGAGTATTCAATTGGACTTTTTCTTGATCTTTCAAAAGCCTTTGGCACGTTAAATCATGAAATATTGCTTAAAAAATTAGAATTTTATGGGATACGAGATAAGTCCTTCAATTTTTTCAATTCATATTTAGCCAATCGAAAACAAGTAGTCTTTTATAATGGAATTTCATCTGAAGTTACATCAATATCTCATGGAATACCCCAAGGATCGGTTCTAGGGCCACTCTTATTCATCTTATATATAAATGATATGTATTTGGCATCTCCCACTTTGAAATCAGTTTTATTTGCTGATGACACCAACATTCTTGCACATAACTCTAATATTGACCTACTTGTTAATAACCTTAATCGAGAACTTTTATCCCTGGATGATTGGTTTAGATCAAATAAACTATCACTCAACTATGATAAAACCAAATGCATAATATTCACAAAGAAGAAAAAGCAAATTAATAAAAATGTGAATATAAAAATTAATATTATCAATATTGAAAGGGTAAAATCAATTAACTTTCTTGGTGTTCAAATTGATGAATATCTTGACTGGAAACAACATATTAAGAATCTTGAAACAAAATTATATTGTACAATTGGAATTCTATACAAATGCAGATATCTATTAAATGTCCCAAGTATGTTGGCAATCTACAACTCATTGATATACTCTTATCTCAACTATTGTATTATAATATGGGGCAGCAATTATAAAACTGCACTTGATAAAATTTTTAAAATTCAAAAAAGCTTTTTGAGATTGCTTGCTTTCAAAGATAGAAGAGCCCATACAGCTCCACTTTTTAAACAATTTAAAGTTTTGGATATTTACAATATCCACCTTTTTAACGTCGCCCAATTTGTATACAAATGGTACAACCGATTAACAGTGTTTCCACAACTTTTTGGTGATTTTTTCCAAATAAATGTTAACATTCACAATTATCATACTCGCCATTGTCAGGATCTACATGCTTTTGGATATTACACCAAAGTGGGATTTTTTTCTATTAAGATTCAAGGTCAATGGATATGGAACAGTATTGAAAGGCCAATAAGAGAAAGTTCTTCTTTGAATATTTTTAAGATAAGATGCAAAAAGTATTTGATAGATAAAATTTCTTTAGATTAGACTCTATATCACCAAATATATCATTCTGGGTCTTAAAGGCATTTAATCACAATTAATCATTGCCAGCAGTATTTGTCCTAATATTATCATCATGCTATCATACTCTACTTCATTTTGACTGTCACTCCCCCCTGCTCCTACCCAACAACTGTTGATGTGCTCTTATTTATACTTATTTATTTATTTGCGCTATTATTGTATTCAATTTATGTTTATCAAGCAGTATATACACCTATTTAAGGTGTCCCTGTAAGTAATTTGTATTTTGATTTATTGTTATATGAAGGAAATAAGAAATAAAAAAAAATAAATAAAAAATAGTGACTGCCATTGGCGGCAATAGTATAGATTATTTCCCGAGTGATCCTCTAAAATGTACTATTTCCCAAGCCGCAGACCTATCAGGATTAGTGTTACATATTTGGTATAATATAATAATGCTTGTTATTTCACGTCATTTTGATACTCGTTACATCTTTCCATTTTCAACTAGAAATACAATCTATGAGAAGCTAATAAATTTCACGTTAAGATGAAGAAAGAAGTAAAGAATTGCTTTAACACATCGATTAAAACATCACATCGATTGTGGTATTTGTCTAAAACTAGATGTTTGAAATTCGAACACAATAAGTTTAAATTATCAATGAAGAAACGTAATTATGAGGTCATTTCTAAGCTCTGGGGTTTCCCTCCTCTTGCGCATTACTAGTATTAGTAGTATAACATGTATAAGCATTAATTATATTCTGCGACCATTAAATTTTATACACATGTACATGAATGGACTACCACCAGAAATAATATAATGCCATCATATGACTTAATAATTTTAGATTGTCTGCTCGGGTAACATCATCGTCTCTAACCAGTTACATATGACGTCATTATTGAAGACAATTTCGGTAGCAATATCTCGGGATATGATGCCAAGTGCCCGGATGGTGGTTTACTTTATTAAGAAGGGTGAAGTCGTGGCCGATTCGATGTCGTTTTACGTTGAAGGAACTGCCCTCCATGAGGTAAATCACAAAGCTCTTCTACTGTACTCGGTTCCATATTAGAATGTATGTTATAAAGCTGACGCCACCGTTTATATGGACAATAACTTGTCGAATAAGAAGTGTTAATTTGCATTTTCTAATTTACCACTTATCTTGGGTATGTTAAAGGTTGATGTTGCTATAAACTTCGGTAAAGACTTTGGCCCTTCCCATGTAGAAGTAATTGGACAAACTGATCCGGGAACTCTTGTCTCATTCAATGCGTTGAATTATCATCTCTATACCATGGGTGCAAGGAACTTTATTACCGAGGAAGAGGTGGGTAGTATCCAACTTTCAGTGAGATATTTATTTTAGAATATTTTTAATGAAGTATGCCCTTGCAGCAAGGGTTGATTTTTCAATTTTTGAGTCGTTGGAATAATTTCGGGTTAAACAGCCCTTGAAATTTTTACGAAAGTTTTCGAGTTTGTTAGTCTAGCTACAAGCCCTTGTTACACAAGTTGTTAGTAAAGTTGTGTAGATGGTCCAGGGTCTTGAAGCAAGACAACGAGTTTCTAAAAATATTTAATTTTATTTCCTTCAATAAATTGAGCATATTTTGACTGTTTGTCTTAAGATTCTTGATGAGTTGCTTACATATGACAGCCACACCAACATTAGTGCCAGTGTAAGTTGGTATGGTGACTACGGGGACAAGCAAACGAGGTTCTTCCAAACACAGTCATATGGCTCGGACGCCAACACGACGTTTGTTGTAAGTTAGTTGATGTTTAATAAATTCATTAAGACATTTTTGAAATCGTTTAGAAATTCATTTTGTTATCGTGAAGATAATTCATTTGCAAAAGTTTCCTACGTACAGGGTTTCCCAGAAGTCATGAGAATTTTTTGAGATTCATTGTCAATATGCAAAATTACGTTGCCAAGCAAATGGGGACATTTCTTTTATAGTTGAGAATGTTTTGTACAAATTGACAAAATGTGACATAAAAAATGGTTTTATTTTTCTGACAACTCCGGGGTTTGTGCCGACTTAGTATCCAAATGTCAATTAATCACCCTCAAAAAATCTCATAAGTTCTGGGACACCCAGTAAAATAATATATACTTAATGTTTGTTTGCTTGTTTTAATCAAAATGTTTGTTTCGTAATGGGACTTAATGTGGCAAGAAAAAATGAAGGATCAATGTAAATATCCAAAATTACTCAGTCTACCCTACCCATATAAGTGTTAGAGATACTAACTTTTCCTCCATATTTCAGTTTGCTGGATTACATGTGTTCACTGATGCAGATCTGACCACTGTGCCAAGTAAGATTATTAACCCAGAAATTGTACCGAATATCTACTTACTAATACGAACCACCTTTTTTGTCACTCATTTTTAAGATTCAATTTCGATCGCATGTTTTAATTTGTTTAAGTACTCATGCCCCCTTTAAATGCTAGCCCTGGCACAGACATTGTAGACATACATTTTCTCCTTATGCTCGTGAATGAAACGCTTGTAATGATGATTTGTACAAAATTTAAAACGGGTTAAAACATATTTTCCCTCTTATAGTCTTGTACTATATCTAGTGTTTGTGAATGTAACTCTAAATGCAACAATGTGCAGCCATGTTTGATTACTCTTGTTTGCAGGTGACTGTAACGCAACTAATGGCTGGTTGACGTGCTATGACGGTAGTTGCTACAGAGTGGAGAAGAAATGCGATCAACAGGTCGATTGCAAAGATGGCGCTGATGAAAGTGGATGTAAGCCTAAACAATCAGTATCATTGAAAATACTTATTTTATACATCATATCGTTGACATATTTCCCCGTTGGATTTAGGTTACGTCAATGCCTTTATCATTACAATATGTATTATATAATTTCTATGTAGGCATAATCAACAAGCCAGAGGGACGAAGATGGGAATTCCTCAGAGATTTTTACATGACAATTCCCTACTTTGAGAACTATGAGGATCAGTCGTGGATGTGGCACACTGACTACACAAAGTAAGATATATTGTAAGGAACCTATCACATGACAGGGTCCATATTTAACTAATAACCGGATCTAAAGCTGTAGCCCAATGTTAGATTTCTACCAATATCCGTTATCTTTGATTAAGAAAAACTAGATCAGATTGATGCTTTCTACCTGATGTAGTTCATTCCAACTACAGTCTTAAATTTGCATTTTAAGTATGTACATGCCTTTCCAGACCAAGTGGCAAGAGCTTTTCTCTGGTTGTCCCTCCATTACAGCCTGCGTTTTATGCAATATCTGCGCTCTCTGTAAGCAGGGAGAAGGGACTCGGAGTTGTACAGACACCATACCGGGTAGGGTTGTTTGACAATTATATCATCGTATTATACACGTATACCAATTATTTAAATGGCTGGTTTTAATAATTGATTTTGAGTATTCCGCGCCTATAACCAAGTGTTCATTTATCCGATAATATTATCAACATTTGTATCTTCTTTTCTGCTGCTTGAAGGTGGATGTGACGAGAAGTCTGTATTGTTCCTGCGAGTTCCCTACTATGGCGAAGAAAGGAGAGCAGATTGGGATTGCAGTTTTCCTGTCAAGTTTCGCATCATATACAATGGAGGTACTGGATTTATTATTGCCCATTTTATTATACTGAAAAGAGCAAAATCTGCTGAATAGCATTCTAGTACTGAATAGTACATGTATACAGTAAAATTTTAAATGTTTGGAACTACTTTGAATTTAAAACATTAGCAATCAAAGGACCATATTGAAACAGTATATATAAAAATAGAAACATTTATACATGTACAACTTTTGTATATTTTAGTTTGTTTTGTAGTTTAGCTATCGTGGCCTCTTATATTTTGATGCTTCATTGCCATGTTATTTTCGGAAAAATTAACATGGCTGAAACTCCCTAAATTACTAAAGGCCACAGCTTAACTGCACATTATACATGTTATATATAACTATCTGAAATACACAAAAGTTAGGACAAGTACATATGTTTCTATTTTTCTACATACTGTTGCTATATAGCCATTTGATTGCTTATTTCTTAAATTTAAACATTCAAATTCCAAACATTTAAAACTTTACTGTAGTATATTTGTATAATTCTCAATAAATGATGGGTGACAGAAACAGGATTTGAAATACAGTTATACAGAAATCCATAATAATAATTATGTTAATGGGATCTTTGTATTCTAAACTAGGTATTGGTAACACTGCCCTCGTCGAAGGATTACAAGTTTGTCTCTGTAGGGGAGGGGTTGATTAGCCACTATTCCCCACCCTTGATAGGTGGAGATGTACAAACCCTTGTATTGGTGAGTAGTCGCTGTTTATAGTATATTGTATTACCTATATACCCGCATAACCAAAGTAAACCAATAAGAAAACACCCAAACTGTTTCAAATGTACAAATATTAATATCCAAAAGCCTATTAGTTCGAACTACTTTTCAACTTATGGTCAATATGTCAGACGCTCTACTATAGGTGTCGTTGTAAATTGTATAGCATTCCACGATATACCAGCATGTTATTCGAGATGTAAAATCCTCAATTTAGCTTTCACCAGGAGAGAAGAAATTCGTGCATTTCCCGGTACTTCCACTGAGAAAAGGTAGAACAAGATTCAGCATTTTCGCACAAACGTTCGATACAGAAGAGGGGTGTTCTGGCTCAATCGATGTACAGGTGAGTGCTTATTTATCGTTATCATTCAATCCGTATTACTTGTGACACAAGTCTTACATAATCCTAGCACCATCTATGGATTTTCTTAAAGCAATATATCAGATGCGAGTAGAAATAATCTTGATTTACTTCATTAATGTTCAAAATCTAGTTATCATATTAAAAGTCTACATGTCAAATTGTATCTAGAATGTGGTTTAAAAAGTATTTATACCTACTTGCATCTGGGTAATTGGATGTAGAAGAGTCCAAGATAGATGGATAAATAGTTTGATGGTAGCTTCAAATACAGAATCTATTTGAAGTAAGAACATGAATATTTCAGATGGACGGTGTAACAAACACATGGCACACTCCTTACTTCGTAGATCTGGTCAAATTTAGTCAGATCATCATTCCTGACCTTTGGATACCCGTTCCTGAAAGATTCGTACTTCCTGAACAGAGACAGCATCTATATGTACCAGGATCAGTTTCAACTAAAGTGTCAATTGTAGGTAAGTACTTTACATTGTCACGTCATTATTAACGGATATTACACCTAATTATCTAATATAGCACAATATACGATCACCTATTTTTGTAATTACACACTTATATCTTAGCAATTATTGCCACGTAATATTACTCCAGAAACGCTTTCAAAGGCTTGGCTTACTCTTTGTAGTGACGGTCTCCCTTGTTAATTCTTTAATGTGTATGTCGAATAAACGCTTTTCAGGTGATGTCATTGGACCTGCCTTCTTCACCAGTAAACTTAGCGTAAATAACGTAGTAGGTCCACATTTGGGTATACCAGTTGGCATGTTGGAAGCCACCTTCTTTGAGTTTAGCCAGAATTTGTGGAATCTTAAATACTTGAAGTCTACTGATCAGCTGACCGGTAGCATCCAATCAGATGCTTTAGAAATAATGAACAGAAGTGAGTTTAAAAATGTTCTTAAATGTTCCCTACCCTGAAAGTCTTGTACCAAAGGGTAGACCCACTCTAACAGTATCACAACCATAAGATGTCTAAATTCTAATATGATTCAAATGTCAAATTGAAGATATTTCCTAGATTTGCTTTCCTTGCAGCATGGATTCCACATCATTGTTTTAAATAAGTCTGTAATTATTGCGTTTCAGATTTCCAAGAGATAATGATGTATTACCAGTCAGGTGGAGGAATTGCCCTTTTCTGGAAGGGTGCGGGTGCAAGTGTTTGGTACGTTGACTTGTATAAACATAAGTTCACAGTGATGTTGTGATGGCATCTTGATATTTTTTCTGTATGTGATTTGCTACGATGTGAAATCTCGTACTGAGATACGAGTCAACATGACAACGCTTTCTTGAGTTGTGTCAATTGTGATAGCTTCATAGTCTCGCTCGAAATCCGTTCTTAAAAAAGTTCATTAAGCTAAACGGTATCACTCTAAAGATGTTCCACTTAACTAGTAGTAATGTTCCACTTAATAGTGTAATACGGATGACATGAACAAAGACTCCGATTGAAAGATACATTTTCTAAATAGGAGATCTTACATTTGGTTTAGCATATACATTTTATAAAATATTTGCATGTTTTGCTCTAATTCAGGCTGACAGCTTTAATTGTGAACCAGCTGAAATTTGCTCGAGTATCTGACTGGGAGACACAATTCTTCATACCATCCGAGTTCATGAATGAAGTCGCCCTCTGGCTAGTGTCCCATCAAAACAAGGATGTAGGATGCTGGAAGGAGATTGCGCCAACATATACGAGGACAATGCTACCAAAGTTGCGAACTCTAAATGGCAGGGAAGACTATTGGAACATTACACTCACAGCACATTTGGTTATTGCACTTTCAGGAAACCTTGGAGTGACGGGGGTAAGTGCTTTATTATTATTAACACTAATTTGGGTGTTATTTGGCAAAGATTGAGGCATCGCCAATAGGGGTAATATGTATAATAGGGTGCTAATTTGGATAATTGTGCCATTGTGTGTATTGCTCTTTGTACCAAAAAAACGGTAACATGATTTGAGAAACTGGGTGAGGCATTGACCTTGCGGTAAGTTTAAGTTCACAAAAATAAGGGCTATTATTGATTTTGTCATAAAACACTGGATCACGGAATGATAGACAGGTTATAGTGTCGTGCCTGCTCATTTTGATAATATTGTAACAGTGTATAATAGGCAATTTAATCTTACCCCTTTATCTGTTTTATGAAACAAAATTACAACGTAAATATGTGAAATAATTGCACTTATACTGTTTGAATCTTTAGGCAGCATCGACAGCTGTGGAAACCGCACGGAACAAAGGTGCCGATTTTCTTGCCACTACGTTTCAACTGCTTGATGACCCATTTGAGCTGGCTATAGTTACCTATGCTCTCCACATTGCCGGGCACAGATCCAAGAGCACCTTTTTCGCAAAGCTGAGGAATTCAAAACAAGAAGGTAATACATGAGTGTAAACTTTGCTTGCAGGTATTTTAAAAGTATGAATCTTCTTTTTTAAATGTTCTTCAATGGGGGGGGGTGTATAGAGATATTGTATATCGTATAAGAGGCTGAAAATTTATTGTATATTGTATAAGAGGGGGCAAAATTTATCGTATATGGTATAAGAGGTGTAAAAAATATGGTATATGGTATTTTAGAAAATATGGTATATGGTATCTAGAATTAAAGAAGGCTAATTATGAAGAAATTGTACCCTAAAGTTCCCCCATTGTGCCAACTCTTTTACTGTAACCGTGTTGGAAAAACATGGAAAAGTAGTCTCTATAATTGTTTTCAAATTCCAGGTCAATCGATACTGTTAGTTTAGAGAAAATCCCTCTCAAACTAAGAGTTTTGTGCCCTTTTCATTCAAATTTTCACAGGAGGTGTTAAATACAGTCTCAAATAAGAATCACGCCCGGTGATCAGAAGAAATGAACGGAGGGGGGAGTAGATCTAGCTGATTTCGGTAGAAAATTCAACAAATCTTGAAGATTTATTTTTTCAAGAGAAAGTTTACAATTGAATGGCTAAATGAATAGACGGAGTGGACGGGGGAATATGTTAGGTCTTTTTGGATTTTTTTTAACTGTGGAGTTCTAAAATAAAAGATCTATTAAAAAAGTGCAGCGTCGCCAACATGCAAATGCCAATGTTTTTGCTATAAATCAACCAACAGGGGTCTCCACGACCTGTAATAAATACTTGTAAGTGAAGTAATTATCACAAAACTATTGGGTTTTGTAAAACATGTTACCATACGTTATATAAAAAGTAATCGAAATTTATGAAAATTTCCAATAAATCCATATGTCCCCATTTTTCACTTTTCAGAGTTGTAACATCAAGTTACTGAGTAAGTGAGTTCATTTTTCAAGTACACGAATTTGTGGAAATTTCTTCCACCTTAAAGACATTTTACTCCCCCCCTCCGTTCACTCCCCCCCCCTCCGTTCAATTTTAATTATTTTCGATTATTTTTTATCTATAATTTGGAAAATTATTTTAAAAAACCGGCAATGAATTTTGTGATATAAAAATGTCGCTTATATATTTATTACATGTCATGCAGACCATTGTTGCTTGATTTATAGCAAAAACATTGGCATTTGCACGTTGGCGACGCTGCGCCTTTTTGAATAGACCTTTTATCTTAGAACTCCATCAGTTCAAAAAAAATCCAAGAAGACCTAACATATTTCACTGTGCACTGCATCTATTCATATAGCCATTCAATTGTAAACTTTTGCTTGAAAAGATAAATCTTCAACATTTGTTAAATTTACCGAAAATCAGCTACTCCCCCTCCGTTCATTTCATCAGATCACCGGGCGTGAGACTGCCAAATGTCATTGACCATCTTAACTTTGATGAAAAATATGGTCACTATGGCTACTCGTGTTTCGGGGTATGTGGGATAAATCATGAAAATATTTGAGTATAAAGTGTTCATACAGCGCATGTTTTAATACAAGCATCACAATGCTAATATAGCATAATATAGCAAAAGGTGTTTATTTGGTCTTCAAACCGTCATGTGTTGGATTTCGGCTATTTATTGGGGATTTGAACAGGTGCATATGTTAGGCCAATGCATTAACTCCAGATCAAGCACTCATAGAGGTAATAAAATAATTTGAACTTTGAGACAGGGAAGGTTTTTCTGAAATGTTGTCCTTATTTTCAGCCCTTTCCACATATGTTTTTCAATGTTTGATGCACCAATATGTTGCACTTTGAGACACAGTTAACCTCTAAAATATGATTTATTTGGGATAAAGTGGAAAACAGTACATGTATTTCCCATGTTATTTTCCCATAGGGAAAACTCATATGATCCATTGTTTTCAGCTTAATTTTGGTCATCCAAAATTGATATCTTTAAAACCCCTGCATGAATCATATTTTCATTTAAAGATCTTAACCATGTCTCAAAACGCAACAGAGTGATCGATGCAACAAACATTGAAAAACAGGTGTGGAAAGGGCTGGAAATCAGGACAACATTACAGAAAAACATGTTGATGGGGTGTTTGCACCTTCCCTGTCTTAAAGTCCAAATTATTTTATAATCTCTATGACTGCTTGTCCTGGAGTTAATGCATTGGCCTAACATATGCACCTGTTCAAATCCTCAGAAAATAGCCAAAATCCAATATATGACTGAAATCTGTTGCGATACCGTCCGTGGTCCTTTAAAAGAAAGTTATTTCTAGTTACATAGAGTAGTTTTCATTCTCATCAATACATCTTTGCCTTGAAATCATTTGTGAAACGTGTGGTTTGACCTTCATGGAAATTTGCTTAATTTTGACACACCTTTGTTTAACTTATACTGTCTTTGAGGCTGCCTTATCTGAAACCCCGAAGTGTCTCATGTTTCAAATGTTTAAACAATCAAGTCTCATCTTGCCTTAATTTCAAACTCTAGTTTCCAGACTCGAGTCCAATCAAAAATGAATTATCTACATGGAAGTTTGTGAAGTCCTTTATTTCTGAAACTGTTTTAAATACTTAATATTTTCCAGGTAACTTCTTTACAAAATTATTGTGCATTGTGAATCTTCATTATCTATCTGATAAATATTTTCCTCAGCAAACTTTATTTTCATAGAACACATGATGAATCTTTTATTCAACATTCTCAATTTTGCATCAATTATGTTTCAAGAATTTTTTTCCCTGGCTCACTATGAAGGACATTTAAATAAGTCATGGGAAAGTATAGGTCATAAGAAAGAGGAGCACTGGGTTCCACCCATTCCAATGATGCAGGTTTTGTGCTAATTTTGAATATCTTTATGGTACTTTTACAGGTAATGGGCTAATGGCTTTAGCAAATTGCAGCAATGTCATAGTTAGTTTTTTGGTCAAAGTAGGTAGCTAAATCACTAAAGAGAAGTCATGAATCTTATATCATAAATGTGTTTTAAATCAACTTGTTTACCTGAAAATAAAATGTGGTCACAGCTTTTCTGATGCTGATGTACCCGAATGGTGTCTAATTCATAATGAAATAAATGAAATCATTGTGGTATGTATGTGGAGTCTAGTTGCCTTATAATAATACATTTACTTTAGTACATGGATTCTCTCCTAATATAATATTATTTCCTTATAAATATCCAAACTTTAATCAAAAGCAGTTTCAAAATTATCGTATATTGTATTTCACCTAAAATATCGTATATGGTATAAGAGCTGTGAAAAATATTGTATATGGTGAAAAAATATTGTATATGGTATAAGAGAGCTGAAAAATATTGTATATGCATTTCCAAGACCCTCTATACACCCCCCCCCCCTTCAATATATTTAATGTCATTAGTATTAATGAAATTAAAAGATCATGTACTTTTAGATTTCATAATTGTTTCCGAAATAGGAGCATTTTAGACAAACCTCTCATGTGTTACATCATGCATGTTATTTGGGATGTGGGGGTTTGTATCATGTTGACTTCTTGCACTTTTAAATAATGTTTCTGTTATTTTTTATCTATTTTTCGGTTCTGACACTTGTACTCTGTTGCAAGGACATATTGCAGTAGCTGATGACGTCTATTCCATTTTCTATCAGCCAAGGGGTGTGTGGTTGATACAGACCCATGTACCATTGCCTGATACTCAATGTAATAGTTGCAGACCATCGTTTGGGAAAACCGATAAAACCCGAAATGATTAATTTTGACTTTTTCAAAATATCAGTTCCTAATACTGACATCGTGACCTTTGTATTACAGATGCTCGTGAACAATGGCCATATTGGTCTAATAGAGTGGTCGAACCAATAAATATTGAAGTTATAGATGTGATCCCATTTATGCAACCTAATGAGCCATTTGATATGGACACTTCGTCAGTGATGGCTACGTCATATGCGTTGATGTGTTATGTTCTGGACAATTATTTGGAAGACGCCTCTAAGATCATGTACTGGATACAGAGTAGGCGAAGGAGAAAGGCAGGCTGGAGTGGAACAATTGTTAGTGAATAATACACATAAAAAACTAATTGATAGATTGCTGTCGTAATTTTTGAGGATTGTTCTTTCTTTGGTTAAAGTTTTTAAATAATTATCACAAATAAGTAATTCTATAACTTCGTAAAGGAAAGGAATGTTATGGTTTTTCATGTCTGAAGCAGTAAAAACAATAGTTTTATATGACACCTCCAATATATTTATATTTCAAAGGACACAATAACAGCACTGCAGGCACTGCACACGTATGGATTGCGAAACCCGAACAGAGATATTTACAGTATGGAACTGACAGTGGAGTCCACCGCATCTCCAGCATGGACCAAAGTCATAAGACTCGACAGAGACAATTTTAATGTGGAGCAAGAGGTCGAGGTTAGAGCATAGGGAACTCATTTTACAGAATGTGTACATCTGGACAATGAATATGAATGGAATGTCCATTGGTTTTGTTATCTCAGATTGTGATAATGTTACTTAAATGGTGGGGTGGGGAGAGTTTTTTTAGGTAGATCATTGTTTTGGATAGTTGGGTTTGTTTTCCTTGTGACTTTCTTTCCTGCTGTGGCTTGTCGCAATTTTCAGAACTTGTTTAAGTACATGTGGATACATATTGATAATCTTGTGTTGTTCTCATTAAGACAAGGACACTTGTTAATATACTTTACAATTGAAAGGGCATAAAACAGACATCAACATCCCAATGTAGTGAGAGATTAATTGTGGCATTGGTAATATTTTGCAGGTACCTAATGCATGGGGAAGTGTCAAAGTGACAGCCAGAGGTAACGGATTAGCAATGTTACAGGTAAGCCTTGTTGGAAACATAATTTCTTTTTTTTATTGATGAAGTGTTTATTTTGGGTATCTGTTTCTCACTTGCACAATTGTACACCGCGTTTCTTTGCAGTGGACCATTTTGGTGCCTTTGCGTTAAGCTATAGCTAAACAATGGCAAATGAAATGTAATGTCCTCTAACAGAAAAGACAAATGCTTTTCTATTTCTACGTAGGTGACAACGACTGCCAACGTTGAGTATATAGAGCAGCTGAGAGCGCCAGCTAAAACGCCCGATGGAATTCGGCGTCACTTTGATTTAGAGGTCAATCTTAGATGGGCTGGGGCTAACAATAGTATAATGTACATGACGCCCTGTGCAAGGTAATGAATAGTCAGATGGTTTCCAACATTATGTAAATGATGATATGTAGAAATAACAACAAAAAAATATGATATTCATGTTTGCGTGTTAAAGGTGTACTAAAAAGTTCAACTTAAGGAAATCTTTTCAATATTGAAATAAAAATAAATTACATTATTTTACATAATTTTATAAAAAAAAGTACGATTGTCGATTGTGATTTACCCTATCGATTTCATGTGTGCTGTCAGAGGTTATCATTTTAGTTTCTCGGTTTAGTTCTTTAGACACGCAGTAATGATTATTTTTGTCTCACTAGAGTTCACGAACATATTCGTCATGTACATTTCACTTTATAGATGGCTTCGAACAGATGTAGGTCCTACCAGTATGTTAGCCTACTTCCAAATAGATATCCCAAGCGGTTTCACTATCTTTAGAAAAGAATTGAACAAACATATGAGAGAATACCCATTCGTTCGGAGAAACTTCTTCAAAAGAAAAAGCCTCATCATTTATGTCGACCAGGTAGTTTCTTATTGTATCTTCTACTATACCACTGCTTTTGCGATCATAAATTTAGACGTTGACGTCTTTAGCTCTCATGAAACTGGGCCAAGCTACTTTAACGTGGGAAGGTGTATTAGACATTGTTTCTTTACATATTAGATCATAGTTCCGGGTATTTGGGGTTTGCTTTATATAACTGGTTGTTCTCGAAAATGTTTCGTTTTTATTATGGTCTGTTTTTATCACATTTTGGCATTTAACCGTTATCGCATGCGCACACATATTTACAATTAATCTGATTGATTTTATTCTAGATCGGAACGGACTGGTTGTGTTCAACGGTGAGGGCGGACCGCTGGTATCCCGTAGCAAATGGCAGCATACAACACTCGGCAATTGTGGCGGAATATTACCAACCAGGTATTTATCAATTTTTCGATTGTTCATGATCTTTCTTGATGGATCAAGATGCCAAACGTTAAAGTTATCACAATTGTTGATACACATAGATTTCAGTGAAATTCACGGATCATTTGTTCATTTGTAATTGTTACTACATAAAAATGGCAATAGTTAGACTTCATAGTCCTGTTACTTTTGTGTTTAGTATCGAAGAAACACAGTATTTACAGAATTTATGACGTTTTATTTATTAAGTTATATTAATTTCCTTAGCTATTTTATTTCAGAAGTGTTGAGCAAATATGTAAAATTACGAGACATTTATTTTGATTTTCAGAAATACAAAACAAAACGCTGTACACAACTTACAACTTATTCTCTCAGCACATTTGTTTAGTATGTGGCTCATTCCAATGTCCTTATTGCCCATACTATAACTCAGCTGACCAGCTGGTAACATCTCACTGGCTGACATTGACGACAATATTAGCTGGACTACATATTTTCTTATACATCCATTCACTAAATGGACATAGTTGATGTAGCTCTGATGGTATCTAGAATCTAACTACGCTTGAGGAAGTAAAGTTATTAATCACACAGAATAGCTAGAAGGCTACCAGTGTTGAATATTCAACAATAAGTAATACCTGTTGTGATAAGTGGAATATAGCCTTGCCCAAGTCGGTATTTTCTACTTATCTGATCTTGAGTTATTATTCATAATAGGAATCAAAATAAGTAAAAGAGACCGATTTGGGCAAGGCTAAGTGGAGTGCTGATTGAAACTATGTGTTATTGAACTATCCATGCACTATGTAACACTATTTTTATACTATTTTCTAATAAATGTGTTAACAAAATGTTTGAAATAATTTGACTTCTACAGAACTGACAGCAATTTATGCGTCCTTGGTGCAGTTAATCAGAAGATCATTTGCAGCAAAGTAGCACTGCAGTAATTGAGCAATTACAAGTAGAAAAAGTCCTTATAACTCAACTTTCAGTTAATTAGCTGTGCAAATTATCTGTACATGTGTTGTCGTCAAAATAAAATTGTGAATATATCAATGATATCATTATCTACTTACAAATTGAAATTATTATCCCTCTACAAACATTATCGGGGGGGGGGCTCTTACCTTAATTACTATTACTCTACAACCATAATATTTGTTGTAACTAAATCTAAACTATACCTAATTACCATTCTACCAACACAATCCATTTATCTATTTCTATCATTGTTTATTTCATTTTACATTACAAAGCTTTTAAATTACAATATTCAAGTCACAGAATAAAAAACTTGTACACAGAAAATCTGTAAAAACGCCGTACGGTGGACTTGAGGCGACCGTAGTATTCTGCGGCCGCGGTAAGTATATCCCGATTTCGAGGAACACCGAAGACTTGACGTAGAGCAAATGTAACTGGATAAGTTCCATTACATTTAACAAACCGACCACTTTATTACAATGCAAGCCGCATTCATATTTTAGACACATTCGATAATTATATGGCAAGAGAAGCATCGAAATTCAAGACAAATATTTATTAGTCAAACTACAAACAATCCAAAATATACAAAAGTTAAGTCACTGACATGTTTCTTGACACGTTTCTTAAACGGTTGCTTTGTTGATATTTGATTGTTTATTTTTAGGTTTGTTCGGCTCACAAAAATGTATGTTGGGTGTTGAATGAATCTGAAGAGTTTACCATATGCATTTAGCTTACGTTAAGTGCAAAATACATTATAAAATGAAATTTGATTTGATATTGAATTATATCATATAAACAAAAATACATTTCCATCTGATTAAGCAGGCTATAACATCCATGTATTTCTATTTTTCAAAAAGTCGGGGAACCATAATTGAAAACCAAACCTTTCGGATAATTTCAATTCAGCTATATAAGCTGAATTATTACCCCAAATATCCAACTCGAAGTAATTATTTCGTCTACTGGTGACTCGTGTCAGATGAGTGAGTGAGTCATAGTATCAAGTATACTGTTACATGTATTTCAGCCTCAAATGCACAGTTATGCAACTTAAACAACTTTACAATATTGCATGCATCGGGTATCAAAAGTGAGGATATTAACAGTTTTACTCGAATATCACTAGCCAAAGCTGGAGCCTTTTTCACAAAGCATCGCAATTTGAGTGCGATTGGTATCGCTACGCGATTGCTACGTCTATATTCACAATGACGCGATATCGCAATCGCGTAGCAATCGCAATTGTCACTGGGGGGTATCGTGATGCAACAACACCGTGTTGTTGCATCAAGATGGCCAGACTTCCGGTGATAGATTTTCGTACGATATTTTGTTTTCCCAATTTAAACCCATTTCTAGGACGAGTTGCTCAATAATCATACACGTGCAGTTAGCCCATGATCTATATTTAAAAAAACTCTCATTAGTATGCATGTAGCATCATCAAGAAGCGAGAAATTCGCCGTTTTAATTCCTCACTATTGATGCAACAACACCACTCTGTTTATCATCGATGATGCAACAACACCAATGTGCTGATGCAAAAACGCCAATATAATGTATCATTGAATATCAAGCGAAACTGTTTTACGTTCTGTTTATCTCGTAGGTGTTGGTCGGGACATGAATAAAACGCGTGAGTGCGTGGTTCATGAATGAAACGTATTTTGTTTGGTTCCTTAATGTATTTGTCTTTATGTTACCAAAGTTAAAAGGATATACAAGGTAAACTAAATACATAGGCTAAGTATTGAATCCCCGGGAGCCAACCTCATTGATAATTTGATATTGTATCTGAAAAATAAAGATTATTCATTTTCTAAATTAAATCCCCTTGGTTTACCGTATCGTATGGAAATTGTTTACAAAGAACTAATATAACTAGACTTTGGAAATTGAACAAGTTCAATTTCAGACTCCAGATTTGGACTTTTTTAAGCCGAGTCATCCAGAAAAAGATGGATGGATGGATGAAATAGGAAGGAGGGATAGGACAGAATAGGATGGAACGATAGGAGAGAATAGAGAAGAAAGATAGGATAGAATAGCAAGGAAGGATAAGATAGGAAGGATAGGAAGGAAAGGATATGAAGGAATGGAAGGAAAGGATAGGAAGGATAGATAGATAGGAAGGAAAGGATATGAAGGATAGATAGGAAGGAACGGATAGGGATAAAAGGGATAGGATAGGAAGGATAGGATAGAATAAGAAGGAACGATAGGATAGAATAGTAGGATAGGATAGGATAGGATAGGATAGGAAGGATGGATGGAAGGATGGATGGATTTTTCGACATTTTCTTGGCTACCCTTGACTTTCTATCAGGATACCATCAGATTGATTTTTCTCGAAATTTCAAAACGCCATACTTTCCGAACCGGAAGTCGAATCGAAATTTGGTTTGCAGATTCTGATTCCTGGGAAAATTCTATTCTTCATTCATAACTCAAACTTTAAATTTGGTGAATTTTTTATTTTGACCTACTTTTTGGACACCATATCTCAAAAGTGGGTTAAAATACTTTCTGACGGCAAAGGGCTAACACTATTAGTACACTCTTGGCTACATGTATACACAATTTCGAAGAATATAATTGAAGTGTAGTGTCAGAATCACAAAAATAAGGAAAACTTTTGAATTTGACCTAGATTTTGACCTAGACATTTTTGTGTCCAAATTTTGAAGCTAGATTGCTTTTGAGGTACCCTTCATTTAAAGGCTTTCATTAAATTAAGCTGTACTCGGTCGTATATATGTCGTATTTTACACTTCAAAAATTTTTTTTCCCTTTGACTAAACATGGGGCACCAAATTTAGCGATTTTGAGTTTTCAAAACGCCATAACTTCCGATGAGTGTAGGTTTAATGATATTGCAGTTATACAATGCTATTATATAGAGGTTATTTACTGAGAGGGATTCAATATTGGTTTTATTCCGGGACACATTATGATATTTCCCGAGGGCCCAGGGGGAATCTGGGATTACTGTACCCCTATTAATTTACCTTTTCGGGACCTAAATCCTATTACCTACCTTTTTACTCAATCGGGGAGAACGAATCCAAAGAGAACAATACGTCTACATGTGCGCCGTGCAAGATTTCCAATAGCTCGTCGTGTTTACCGAGAACGAAAGATGCTTGCCCACCATTTTGAATGATACTAACTGGTATCAGGGTCATCAAACTATGGAACAGGGGTTTATGATAATAGATTGGGTTACTATAGCTTGCAATGTTAAAGGCGATTGAACTATGTTATAAAACAACTTCCAGTACATTATGATATTTAAAAGTATAAATTTTTGAAAATACATATAAAGAATCTTCGCCCGCAGGACGTGTATTTTGAATGCCTGAGAAGAACGCAAATGGGTACTGGCTCGGTGTTGCAATAGTAGCATTTAAAAATCTGTTCCTCTCGAGATTTATGGTCTTCTGAAATCATACTATTAATTGGTGTTGTTGCATCATTGCTCAAATCTAGAGGAGTGTTGTTGCATCTTCGGTTTGGTGTTGTTGCATCAATAGTGAGGAACTAAAACCGTGAACTTCTTGCTTCTTGATGATGCTACATGTATACTAATGACAGTTTCTTTAAATATAGATCGTGCGCTAACTTCACGTGTATGGTTATTGAGAAACTCGTCCTAGAAATGGGTTTAGATTGGGGAAACAACATATCGTACGAAAATCTATCACCGGAAGTCTGGCCATCTTGATGCAACAACACGGTGTTGTTGCATCACGATACCCCCCAGTGAATTGTATCGCACACCCTGCGTGCAGAGTCTAGTTAAACTAAAAGGCGAAGCTCTCTTTTAAGAAGTGAAGTCAAACGAATGCAAAGGGTAGTATCGCAATATCTTAGCAACAAAATTAAACGGAAAATTAGTTTGGCAACCTTAACTGAATGTTGACCCCATGAGCATCGCACAGACACTTTAATATTGCGACTGTATTGCGACTAGTAGAGGGTAGCCGCAATTGATGATTTGCGATCACCGGATAGATTTTACCTCGTAGTGACATCACAATTAGGCCACACTGATGTAGCTGTTTGATTTTCTTCTGTATTTCGTACTTTATTGATTTATTTTTCACGAAAGTATCGATTTGACTAGATCAACATTCATTCTAAGCACATGCCAAGTCTAAGATCTTACTGACATGATTAAGATTGCGGTTAAGCGCCCCCCGATTTTGAGAAAAACGGGGGGCGCTTATAGGCATCGATGTTTAGTATGAATTTCAACCAAACTTTGCACATATAAGGATATACTCATGATCTAGTCAAATCGACATACCTGGTAAAAATCCGAACCATGGTTGGCTTATAAGAAACGATAATTGTTTCTGCTGAATAAGAATTTGAGCGATTCTTGCGATTGATATTGCGATATCGCAATCGCATAGGATGCGACATATTGTGAATAAGGCCTCTGGTGGTTGTAGCATTTTGTAATCAGTATCTATTTCAACTTATTTAACGTCTACGGCTTACACAATTTAAACCACCTATTATTCCGGCGAGTAACATATGTTCTTGGAAAACGTGTTGCCCAAAGGACTAAATCTATCCATGAGATCTAGAGTTACTAGAATAACTCCAACGTCTCATGCACCATTCAAAAGTTTGCGTGAGACCCCCTCCCCCACGCGGGGAGGGTAGGGAATTTGATACACGAAGATTGTCGTACCGGGAGTGAGGAATTTGATTTACATGTGTCCGGGAATGGGGCTTTTGACTGAATCTGTTTCGTCCGGTATACACTTTGGATTCTCGGAATTTGCAAATGATCGGTATATTCAGTGAACTAATGATCCCTCATATCGGGAACAGTAGAAAATAACTCATCTACACGTTTGGTAAAGCGTCAGGGGTGGAATTGCCGAGAATAACCACTGGAGAGAGGGATTCTAGAATAATACTGAGCAGTGTCTTAATTATTGGTTTGTCAAGCTTTTTTTCGCCCTTAATTTTTGAAAAACAAATTTTGATTGAAATAATTTGATATAGGTGAATAAAACGGAGGTAGGTAACCTATAAAAGTAAAAAGCCAATATCTTAAAATACGTCATTGCATAAATTACAAGTGACCTTTCGAAAATTACTACGATGTGGATTTGTTCCCGATTTCAATTTTGTAGCCACTCGTTCTGATTGCAGACGTGCCGACCACCAAAAAGTATTGGAAAAGCACTTTTGTAAAACCGCAATCGTTAGTGTGACTTAATTACAATTATTTTTCTAATTAAATACACAGTCAGGGCCAGTAAGGGCCGTAAGGAAAGGGGACCATAATCCCAAGGGGACCATAATTTCTTTTACACCGGGTTGAAACCGAAGGCGCCTTTCTAAAACGCATGGCCACGTGTGATGGTGTAATTCCATCAATACACTCATTTCGACATCGTTGGTGAATGTGTTGACTTCCACTTGTGTGTACGCACAATTTGACATACATTATACCGATAAGTAAATATTTTGGACGGTAACCCCCACCTCAACTATAATTATTTTTCCTTCAAGGTATAAGTCAGTGGTCCTCCTTTTCATGAAATATATAATAGTTGGAAACCTCATACTTTAAATTCAACTGGATTGCGCCTATGTTTACCCTTTGCTTTCTTTTGTCTTCTAGGCTCTCCGCTTTGGGAACATCTGCCTTTACTGAAACATTTTCTAACCCAGTCGGTATTTACGGATATTACTCAGTCTTTCACTTGTTGAAGCATACCGGAAACGTCCATAAACGAAGTTGTAACATCACTTTGACTGACAAATCCTTCTTTCGAGATCAACCACCATGTTTTGAGATTCGACCCCTGAAAACATAAAAAGTAAAATCTTTAGACCCTATTCCAGAGAAACTTAATTATGTCATCACCTTGGCTATTCAACATGTATGTATTGTACATGTGCGTGTATATGGGACAATTTACGATAATTGATATTTTAAAAATCTGTTGTTGTACTAGAGACTGCGACATATATGTTGATTTCATGGACATGCAATGTGTTATTTTTTGCTGACCAGACTTTAAGCAATCATTACCACAAGGTACCTGTTTGGAATATTGCTTATCTTTTTAAAAAATATCACTTTAATGATGGATCTTTAGACAATTAAGTAATTAAGTAATATTTTATTTTTTTGGCAAATATAAACTCGGATTTCGTAACATAAATGTATCGATTTCGTTGATATTTTTGAGCATGTTAATAAAATGTATGTGCTACCAACTATTGAAAACGGGATGTCTGATATGTCTTAGTCACATAATTAAGTATGTTTTACTATATGTATACGATTTGTCAAATATTTGTATCCTCCAACACATCGGCCATATTAATATACACTATTGATGCATTATTTTGGTGAAAGCTATGCCACAAGGTACATTTTGATGACATATCTTCGATTGCAGACAATGGAGATATATGATTGTGTAGGTATTTCTGTCGTGAATTCTTATCATCTTTGAGAAAAAATATTTTTGGATTATTATTTTGAGAAATGAAAGGTCTTAATAGAAGTGTTTAGATCATCATTATTTAATTTTTAATTAATTGAATTGTCTTTGTAAAACTTTATTAAGCATGTGTTGGAGGATAAAAAATGACTTTAAAATTATGTGACATACGTACAATCAAAAGTTAGTTGTATTCATATTTTTATATTTATATTTAAATTACAGCAAAGAATGAGTCATTGCCAAACCAAGAAACAATATATTTCACTCTCAGTTTGACATGTGATCATGTTATAACTTTGTGGGAATAGCGATGCATGTAACCTTTACATTTCTATCCAACATCCTATGCTTTCTTTTTATTTCCATGACTGACACATAACCATACAAGTGAATGATGTTTCCCATTCCCTCATTACCCACGCTGCGTGTTTTTTCATGATGTTATATTTTGAATGCCGTTTGTCGTTCCCTATGATGAATGTTTGGCCTTAACCCGAAATGATAAATGTTGCTTGCACATCTTAGTCATTGTAAGTGCCAGAATACTTTTATATCGATTCCAATGCAAATGATTGCATCCATCGCACTCTTTAATATTTCACGTGCAATATGAGCAACATGCCCGTAGCCAGCTTTTAGTAAGGGGGGGGGGTCGAACCCATCCCCCTGCCCACACATAAACATTTTCCATACTAAAGCAATACCATGGGCGACCCTGAAAATTCAGAGGGTGGGAGACGAAAACAAGGCATCATTGAAGCATCAAAGCATCAATTTGAAGCAAGTTGAAAGACCTTTTTTGACCCTGAGAAGGTCATTGAAGGTGATATCTCAAATCTAGCTTCAGATTTGAGCTTCTGAGAACTTGTAGATGATTTTGAAAAAAAAGAATTTATCAATTTGAAGCAAGTTGAAAAAAGACCTTTTTGACCTTGAGAAGGTCAAATATTTTTTGACCTTGAGAATGTCATTGAAGTTCAAATCTATAGTCAGATTTTAACTTTTGAGAACTTCTAGATGATTTTGAAAAAAGAATTGGTCAATTTGAAACAAGTTGACCCTTTTTGACCTTGAGAAGGTCAATGAAGGTCAAATTTCGCATTTAAAGTCAGATTTGAACTTCTGATAACTTGTAGATGATTTGAAAAAAGAATTGGTCAATTTGAACCAAGTTGAAAAAATATATTTTTGAACTTGAAAAGGTCAACGAATGTAAAATGTTGGAGGTCAAATAGAAAGAATATCGTTCAAGATAGCACGAGCCTCAAAAGCTACGAAAACCAAATTCCTGTTTAAAGAGCCATATTCTTCACTAAATTGGTTAGATTGTGGGTTTGCTCTTTAACATATTTCACCTACTAACGAGAATGACCAGAATATTGGAACCAATTCTAAAAAAATCTTAAAAGATACTTTTGTTGGAATGCGCATCGTTTTCTTTACGAAAACTAAGAATTTACTTTATCGTCTAGCTTAGGCACATTTTATTTTGCTCGTACAGTACTAGGTTTTTATTTTATTAAGCAAAAGGTAACGGTTAAAAATAGAAGATGGAATTTCATTGCTTTACAAAAAACGTTAGAAACGAGGTCAAGAGTAACATATACCACATAATTACCTGATGGATGTAAAAACAATAAACAATTTTGGAAATACTGACAATACATGCATAACATAACTGTAACTGTTATCACTGCTCTTTTCCCTTTGAGAGTACTATACTCAACAATGGATTGGATTTTCCTTGGGAATATACACCCGGGATGATATCAGAATTAGTGGTCCAAGTGTCAATATGATATTTCCAGAGGCCAACATCATATTTTCTCGAGGAAAAATTCTTATTCCATCACGAACATCAATAACTTATTTATACCATAATATTTTTTCACCTGGATTGGACCTGATACGGGAATTTGGACTGATACGGGATCCAATACGGAATCTGATACTGGACTATCAGTTCTATTCCCTATTTATTTCCCAGGGAAAACATGTTAATATGGAATAAATTGAGGTTATTTAATGGGAGGGATGGAATACGGATTTTAATGAACAAGTTTAAAATAGAACGAAAAAAACCAAAATAAATCCCTAAGAAAAGTTCTATTAATCCGGGATTTTATTCCATAATACTACTGTTTTCCCAGGGAAATATATAGGAATAAAAATCGTATTGAATCGTATAACATGAAACAATCATATTGTCCCAAAGAAAAATCGTATTGGAGCGTATTGCACGAAAAATCGTATTGTCCCCGGGGAAAAATCGTATTGGAGCGTATTAACCTATTTTTGGTTTCCTGTTATTTTTAACCTTACATGTTTATTATGGAATAAATAGGTTATTTCTGGTCGGGATTGAATATGTGTTTTATTCCTCGGAAAATATGATAGTGCGCTCCCTTGGCCTCGGAAAAAACCATATTCAATCGCTCTCAGTAAATAACCTATATTTGGCTGATACTGGATTCAATACGGGATCTGAGATGGGATTTTGGCTGATACGAGATCTGATGCATGATTTTTTGAATATCAATTTTATTCCCTGTTTATGTCCCAGGGAAAACATGTTATTATGAAATAAATAGAGGTTATTTAATGGGAGGGATGAAATATGAATTCTATTCCGAGAGAAAATATGATATTGGCCAAGGAAAATATGATATTGACCGAGGGCGATAGCCCGAGTGTCAATATGATATTTTCCGAGGCCTTTATCATATTTTCTCAAAAAAAAATTCATATTCCATCACGACCATCAATAACTGATTTATTCTATAATAATTTTCTAAAATAAAACTAAAAGGAAATTACCGGGAACAGTTCTGATACGGAATCTGAGACCAAATTTTTGCTGAAACGGGATCCAATACGGGATTTTGGCTGATTCGGGATCTGATACAGGATTTTTTGAATGTCAATTTCATTCCCTGTTATTTTCCCGGGGAAAACATGTTATAATGGAATAATACAAATAATACCATAATTTTTAATGGATCTCTTGGTATTTTGTAATGATATATCATATTTTTATCCACTCATAGATATTGCTATTTGATAATCATTTGAATATTGATATCATATATATATTCATTATTGGATTAAGAATCACCTCTTATAAATTATAGGATCCTCTATGTATCCGATGGTTTTTAGCTCACATGGTTTTGCAATCGCTCACTTGTCCGTCTGTCAGCTGTCTGTCTGCCCGTCCGTCCGTCCGTCTGTCCTTTTCCTCCTTTTCCTCTTTGCATGCTTAATTCCCTTTGTGGTTTGCACTTTCACCTTTTATTGACTTTGTGTACCAATATTGATTTGGCTGAGTTGGAGTATTTTGGTAAGTGGTCCGAAAATGACTTTAAACTATACAAAATTGTTCCGGTTTATACACATGGTGTATAGTCTAAATAGTCCATTAATCCCATACCCTAACAGGTTAAACATAATTTTTTAAATAAAATAAATATACATATGATTTTTTTAAATAGTTTAAAATACTGAGTAAATGGTATAGATATATGAATAGAAAAATAAAAAAATGAAATAAATAAAAAATGTTAACTATAAAAATGGAAAACAAATGAAAAATGTTAACTATAAAAATACACCGTACACTGAAGCGTTCATGGACTTGTTAATATAGTCCAGGGACCCAGTTATGTCTTATTTATTGAATCCATGCAGGGAAGGGGAGTGTTTCCATGGACTAAAACGTTAAACCCACCTATGCCCAGTCACAAGCCTGAGGAACCTGCTTTTATATCTAATGTGGATTTTTATCTTACTAATCATGACTTAAATATTAATATGGGTATTTCCTATAATTAATATATACTGGATTTTAACTTACCAAATATGACTTCAATATTAATATGGGTTTAAACCTATAATGAATTAAACCTATAATAAATTAAATACTGGATATGACAAATAAATAAAATCAATTATAATCTACCTATATGATGTAGATATCCAAATGTTGGTCTGAATTTATCTTTGTGGAAAGATTGTATGCTTCAGTTGCTCTTTAACAAAACATGTGGGACAGTGTATCTATATATTACAAGATGTCCGTCCGTCTGTCCGTCAACAATAGTGGCACGTTTTAAAACCTCTGTCGATAGTATTCCTGTTTTAAGTTATTTCTGTTCAACATCAATACAGAAAACTCCCCTATGACTCCTGGTTCAAAAGCTCGCCTATTTTCAAAATGGCCGCCATTTTTGTCTCGCGAAATTCACTTTTGACCCATTTCCTAGCTTTACAAATAATTTCAGGTGTCCTACATTCTAAAGATCCATGTAAATGTAAAGAGTAGATATATGAAATAATTTTGTTACAAAAAA